GTTATTTTCAAAACTAGGTACAGGACAGCATAATACTAGTCCCTAAGAAATCCGAATAGGTACAATAAATCGATATCCGTAAGTGAAAATTCTACTTAGGAGAGCATAATAATAGACTTTCATATTGGAGGGGGGAGGGGATGGCCATTATTTAAAAAAAAATATAAAATTTACAAAAACTTAAAACATTAATTTGAAATGAAAACGGTTGAATTTGAATTGGAAAAGGTTTAATTTGAAATGGAAATGGTTGAATTGACTTGGAATAAGTTTGATTTGATCTGGAAAAGGTTGAATTTGACTTGGAAAAGGTTGAATTTGACTTGGAAATAATTGAATATCACATAGAAATATCACACTGAAAAAATCTAAAATGTTAAAATAAATGGATATGCAACTGCGTAATCAATTTTTTTTTTGTATTTTTTAAAAGCTATGCCGTCGATAATATAGTAAGTGGCCTTCATTTCGAAAAAAATCGAAAATTGACAAAAATTCTAAAGTTGAATTTGAAATGGAAATGGTTGAATTTGACTTGGAAAAGGTTGAATTTGAAATGGAAAAGGTTTAATTTGACTTGGAAAAGGTTGAATTTGATTTGGAAAAGGTTGAAATTGACTTGGAAATGCTATATAAAGATATAAATAGGAAGATGGTCCAGTCGTCTATAACAATTATACATTATAACAACAAAATTTATCAGATCTCTTAAGGTCGTTATATTAATCCAATGTGTATTAATTCCAATTTAAAAAGAATATTTTTGAATTTAAAAAATTCCCTGAATTTAGCAATTTTTCCCTGACTTCTCCCGGTTTTGAAAATTCCGACTTTTCCAGGTCGGTCGCCACCCTGAAACCTTTCTTTGTCAACAGAATATATTTTACAGTAAATTTGACCTTAAAATTATTAATCAACCTAAAGATCCCACATTACCAATAGGAATGATTAAGTGTCAGGGACAACAAAAGAAGTAGGCAAGGCAGAATGATATATACTGATACTTACCAAATATATTTTTTTTAAAAGATGCATCCTTCATTAGCAGCCCATATATACTAGTCGTTTATTCGATATAATGCCCTGGCACACTCCAATAATAGCAAAAAGTATGCTTAGGCCAAGAAATATCTAAAACAGAGTGTCCAGCGATAGGGAAAACCGGGAATTGTACAGGAATTTCTTGAAGTGGGGAAAACTGGGAATTGTATGGCAATTTTTTAACAAAAACAACCGGGAAGCTTTTTTTTTTTTTTTTTTTTGCTGCTTTTGTGACTAAATAAATGAGCTTGGATTTACATACATAATAAAAAATATTGTTGTATTCACATAATCTTAAGAATAAATATTTTTATTAATTATTAAACAGCCTTGGAACAGTCAGATTGTGGCAGTATTTTTTCTTGGAAGCCATTGATGTTATTTGGTTTTTCCATGATGAAAATACCATCTATCTCTACAGGGGACCGGTGGAGAAAACAGAAATAAGATGCTTAGTGAGGACATAGATTTCCGAAGCTATTAATTTTTGCAAATTTAATATCTTATAAATTTGTGTGAAAATAAATATATGATAAATAAATAAGAATATTTCATCATAATTTTATGGCATTATTGTGTTCATTATTACTCCAGTAATTACAAGTTTATGCATTTTTAAAGGCTTATATTTTTATGCAAATATTTGTATTTAAACCAGTAAATTTGCCGTAATATTAATATTTAATTAAAAAAATTGATACATACTTTTACATGAATATAACAATATTCTTTATTACACCTGTAAATACAACTATAGTCGTATTTACAGGAATGAATACGATAGCAAATATATGTATTTTGACTTGAAAATTTGAAAAAAATTTAAATATTTTTTAAATAAAGAAGAACATTTATCCATAATTTGATGTGAATATGATAATATTCTAAATCACATATTGAAATATAATTTTGGAGGAATGAGGAATGTCCAACTCTGATGTGTAAGAGTGGGGTTTACTCGATTGAGTCTCTCAGGCCACCATTTATATCGGGCTAACTGGAAAGAAACTAACAAAAACGAGCGAATACAACAATGCATATGAGTTTCACATTTGTAAATTGTGTATTTTACTATTCGAGATTACGAAAAAATCACAAAATGAAACAATTCCTATTACTGTGTGTATGTACACATTGAACGAACGTGCTTATGTAATTAATAAGTATGTTTTCATTTGTAAAATAGATGGAACAAAAATTCATTGAAAAAATTCAATTTTATATTTGTTTGGTGTTAACGAAACAAATCTTTTTCATTAGTCACATCAAAACTAATTAGAGAAGGAATATGAGTGAAGTTTAAAAAGAGCATAAAAAGAAGGTTTATACATACTGAAAATTTATTGATGTCTACGTTTTACTTTTCCACAATAACTAGTTCAAAAATGCATGTATATGACCTCTTTCCATATATTGAATGCCTACCAAATTTTGCAGCCATTACAATTTTCTTATTATTTTAACTGTAATTTATATTCATTTTTATTGTAAAATGGAATTTAATGAAATTGATACAAGACAAGTTTCACAAAATTCTTCAAATTTCCCTAGCTTTGTGTCAAATCAAAATAGCTGTGTTTTTTTAATGTAATGGATGGAATTTGATAACAGCATTACCTACTAGATCATTTGTTAATCAATCTCTTAATTTCCTTCAAATTTGAACCAATTCGAATGGATGTTTCAAGAAAAATATGTTAGCACATATATAAGAGAAAGTAGTAGATGGAATTCATTAAGATTGATTAAGTATCATTTTTTTACCAACACCCAACTTTCTTCTAGCTTTGGGCCAAATCGAACGGACCATTTCTGAAATATAGACATATCTAAGAAAATACATTTATGTGCTTGTTAGCAAAAGTGTGAGGTAGAATTGGATTATATTTATATGGAACCGTCTAGACATACACCCACACGATCTCTGAAACTTTCATGAAAAACAGTGGTAGTTGATTTACCATTCACATGGAGTTAACTACAGGACTATTCTTATTTTGAACAATTTCTTATATTTCTTGTAGTTTATTTTGAACAATTTAACTATTTAAAAACTATTCAACCACTTAGGCAAAACATTAAATAATTGACTAAAACATTTAAAATATAAATAGAAGTGCACAACAGATCAGCGTCATTCTGGTCACATTTTTGTTTTGAAAATAGGTGTATAAATACTTTCCCGGGAATTTAAATACAATTTTTAAATCATTTAAGATGCTGAATATCTTTTATAGGTTTTGTTTTTGAACATTTTATTTGGTTTCAAATCAGAAATATCGGAACGTAGAGGGGGTGGCAGAAAAAATTTGAGAGTTTAGAAGAATCTTTTTTCACATCAATTCAATTTACAAATTTCTAACTCAATACATTAATTTAGAGGGGCCATAGAAATGGACAAGCGTTAAAAAGTGAAAAAATGGTTAGTGTCAAAATGCACTTCTCAAACTCCGACTAAATTTAAATATGGGGCGGGTTGCCCAGTAACATGATAAACAGATGTTTACAAGATATAATAATGAGTTCCTGTCCTGGTGCTGTAGGGCCTTTAAACTCTAACATTAATCTCCTGCTCTCCTGAGGTGGGGGAAAATAAAAATTAAAAAAAAAAATCTTGATTTAAATACGAAACCTATTTGATATAAAGGGACTCCATTTAAAAAACAATAAAAATTTATATATTAGACGTTTCTAGAATTCCCATGTATATGTGCAGACCAGTACTGCAATATACTTTTCATAAAATAAAATAAAAAGTGTAACATGATTGGTTGTTATAAGAGCTTACATTACACTGTACTCATTATTCTTCATTTGAGACGTTAATTTTCAAAACCCATTACATCCATTTTAAAAAATACTTCAGAACTGATCAAAAAGGTTGTATAGAACTACTTTTGGTAGGAAATTGAATTTTTTGAATATCTAAACAGGTTTGATACAAATTCATCTAATTTTATAAAAATAAACATTAAAAACTTGGGAAAATTAAAAAAATAATTTTTTTTCAATAAATAGATGTAACCTGTCTTGAAAACAAATGCCTCATATGAGGCATTTACAGGCATTTAGAGAGGTATTTACAGGGGGAGGGGGGGGGGGGAGGGTTGAAAAATCTGAAAAAAAAAACAAACAGAAAAAGCGGAAAAAATCAAGAAAAACCGGGCAATGTATGGGAATATTTCGGAGAATCACTGGACACCCCGTAAAATAAATATAAATTATCTCTTTGACAAAAAGTCAACATTCACATAAGCACAGATTTGATCCTACATCTGATTTCGGCATAAGCATGCTAGAACATTGCTCCAAACACTTGGCCATAAAATATTTCAGGACATTAACTTCAACAATAATAGAGAGTTGATTGAGTTCAGAGAATAAAGATTTAATATATTTAAAAAAAATATATATACTATAGCAGCATTTTTAGCAGTTACTAAAGCAGTTACTAAAGCAGTAAACAAAAACACGATAACAATAATGACATTATTTTAGAGTGTGAAAAAAAAATGTATGTACAGTGCCTTTCAGAAAAAAAATATTTGTGAATTATATAAAATCTTCAGCTAAACAGGAGACAAAGTGATCATGAAAACTACTTAACAAATATAATACAGCTTATTTTTTTTTCATTTCTTATTTAAAAATCAATACAACAGTTCTAGGTTGTGATAATAAGTCCACTCCAAAAATCATTTGTTAATTTTTAATATATGAATTTACAATCTATTTTAGAAATATTTTAGGCACTTTTTTAATAACATCTGTTTATTTGGCACACTTTGTGAACGCCACATTACCAGCCCTGCTTGGTATACCCGAGTCAATATACAACTAATAGAAAATAAAATATATTTTTTGGCATATACAGAATTAAACCTGAGCTAACCAGCTCCTTAGTTTATGGAAAATTTACAATTATTGAAAACTCAAATTATATTGCAGGAAAAACGTACCTGCACTGGATGAACAAGGCCTTGAGCTAAAATTAGCTGAATAACCTTTAAAGCTGAATTTCTTACAGCTGGGTGAGGATGAAGAAATGCTTCTAAAATTTCCCTTAGATAAATCTGAATTACAGTACTGGCCATCCCTGAAGTTACATCACCCATCTCTTTCAAATTTTCTCTTTTGGAAAGCTTTGCCCCTAAAATATAAAAATAAAAGAAAATAATAATTGTATATAAGAAATTTTAATGATAACATATATTTATTTATTCTTGACACTAAGGTACTAGAAAGCTGGACCTCGCCATCCAATCTCTCTTATCCCAGTAAAGCATTAGCCACCTTCTATTTCCTTTATTAGCCATCTTTTTCAGGATGTCCACTTGGTCCAGCTACATCAGATGTTTTCTTCTTCTAATATGTCTTCCACCAGATTAGTCCTTCAGCAAGGAGTTCATGGATTGATTTTCTGAACATAAGTGCCATATGATTCAACCTCCACCCATTCACCATTGAGAACATATCCATTTTTTTCAAGTATTTCCCACAGTTCCTCATGGGTCATGTATCTTCTCTAGGACTCTTCTCTCCCATGCAAGCTAGCTTGTTTTCTGACAACTTATCACCCAGATCTTAAAATTATAGGTGGCCAAGGGCCACTTTCCTATTTTGATTCATGGTTCAACCACATTCTGGGTTTAGTTTCCTATTTTGACACATTCAATTCTTCTACGTGGTTTTAATAAAGTTAACTTGTAAACGGTATTTTAAAAAAATTGATTTGCAGCTGTAGTTCTATAGCTCCAATTATATTTTTTCAAATTAAATTTTTTTTGAAATTATAATATTTCAAATCTTCAAGAATCCCAGCCAACACTGTTTTATTTTTTTCTGTAATTAAACCATCAGTATAGACCAAATCCTATGTCTTTATATACGAATAGTAACACTAGGATATGTTTGGTTTGCTTTTGTTGCATACTATAGGGCAGCAGTACTCAAACAAAAAAACTCGGTGCTATGGTAAGCCCTTGGCAGGCTATAATATTACAGTGAGAATCTTATCAAGCTAAAAAATGTTCAAAGCACCTATGTTAAATTAAAAAATCTGTTGCGCGCATCACACAACTTTCACTTACCACTTTACTTCGAAAAGAAATTCTTATCTGACAAAATTGGGCTATTACAAGAAGTTTTTGAAGTGCATTTTCAATGCACAACCTTTAAACAACATATTTTTTGAATTTCGATGATATTCGTCAATACAAAAGCTCATTAACACCATCAAAACAACATAAACTCTATTTATTATATCGATTGTAGGCAATAAAAAGCTTATAACTGCATGAGTTGGAGCTCTATAGACAAAGAGAGATTTGAAAGTACATATATTTAATTATGAATAAGTAAGAATCGAACAACATAGTAAAAATTATAGTTATTAAATCTCTATTACTTTTAACATGTATTTAAATTCCTATTTATTACCCTTGGAAAATTTACAAAATACAGTTACTTGCTTTTAAAAACCACATCGATAGGTCAAAAGTTGTCACACTAAAATCGATAGAGCCATTTTTCAGAAAATTGTAAAAATGTGTTAAGTCGATGATATAAATACCACTTTCAGTTTGCTGATTTAGATGAAAATGTTGCTGTAACATCCCAGGCATACAATAACCTTAAATAAGCAATTTCAGTTTTGTACAACTTTTCATTTTTGTGCTAGACTGTTCACACACGGTTACACACACAGCCATTTTGTGGGACTTGGTTATTTGGACTCAGGGGACCTCAAAATGTGAATTTCCATTGAAAACTCAGATTCGAAAATGTTCACGATCACAATACTTACCCTAACTATATATATAGGTAAGTGAAATCAATAAAAAAAATTCGAGTTGGCAGAGCTTGTAAAGAAGAGTTGGGTGCCACACATGTTCAGAAGGTTCTTCAATAACCAGAAAAACTCCCATGTACATCCTGAGCTCAAATGTTTAAAATCACTCAATAAAAACTAAAAGTACGGTAATCTACTGAAATCCAAAAATCTTAAAGTATTTCCTGTCACCTCAACCAAAGCCAACTTAAATGTATTAGCCTTTTTCTTACAGGGCACCGATGCACTCAAACTTTTCTCAACGACTGTGAGTGCACAGGTGCGCTCTCTCTAATCATTCTTAGTGACTAGGAGCAAACTTGTGTACTCAGACTAACTCACTATATAAGTGTGTAGAATAAGTTCCTAAACATATCGATGGCATCATTTTGCTGAAGTCAGAGACAAATCTGATGTCACTCATGAGCTCAACCCTGAGTTAGGAACTTGCCCCTACTGCGCTCTGCAGATAAGCCTGGAGAAGAATTTGGAGAGAACAAGGACTAGGTAACAGTTTTGGAATTGCTTTCAGCATTGAGTGATCACTCATACTAACAAAATAAAGTACTGGCTTGGTAGACTTGAAGCTCATAAAATAAAAAACACCAAAGCTATTTCAGAAATGTTTTTCTTATATATAATAATCAATTACGTAACTGCTTTTTTTTTTTACTTCAAATAAACAAAACATATCATCGGTTTGTTGCAAAACGTTATTAAGTAAATTTTTGATTGAGCTTTTAAGTTCATATTTGTAAATTTTGATCATATTTATCAATGCAAAATAACACCAACCCTATTACAATACTTAAATAATATTTTGAATTAATTAGTTAATTAATCAAATTACTTACTGGTTTGATTTTCTAAATGTTATTTAATGGCTTTTAACAATAACCTAACAAATCTAATAATAAGGGAGCAGGCAATGAAAAGAAAGTATGCAATGAAATAATCAGCTCTAACTTGTAAGTAAATATAACATTATATAGTAAAAACCATCATATAATGAAAATAAACCCTTTCCTAATGACTCAGGGCATATTATTGTTTTCACCTCAATTATAGTGAAAAATATCTCAGAAAGTTTTTTAACATTTTTAAACTTACATTAAACAAAAAAAGAACGTAGTGTTAAAGAGTAATAACAGTCAGATTTTTTTTTTTTTTTCGTTTATTGGGAAGTATGCTATGAAAATTGGGCAATATGGCCACTGTATTGTGAAGTTTAAGAACCCAAACAAGAAAATAGGAAAGTAAATTATCTGATACATTGCAATAAAACAATAACAATTATTAAATGATGAAATCACTTAGCAACAAAACAATTGAAGTGAACATGAATTAAACTTGAAAAAACAACAAACAGAAAAACAGGCAATTATTATACATACATTCTTGGTCTTGTTTAATCATCTTCTTTTCTTCTTCCAAGAGGTAGCTCTCAATGTTGTTCAACACCTAGAAAAAAATAATATTGATCCGTTTTTTTTCTTCCCCAGGATGAGATAATAAAATCTATTTTATTTTAAAAATCATTATTAGCCTAACATTTCCTAATAGTAACAAAACAATTAGACCCATAGGAGTGGGAGTAACTGCTGATATAAGCAGGTGATTGTCTTAACTGATTTTTTAACACTAGACCCAAAGTGAGATTTTATAATTAGCAATGGTCTTGATAATCTAACTAAAAGTAAAAAATAACCTTTAGGAATAATAATAGATTAAATCATAAATATTACTTTGCTGATGCTCAAATGTTAGTACAAGGATCCTAGCATTTCTCTGATGAAGAATTGTGATCAGACCACAGGTATAAAAGAGATATAGATTTAATAAAATTGAATTCTCAGAAAGAAATTCTTAAATTTCACAAAATGATTCATTCTATAGCACTTTCAATTTTAGTATACGAGGGTGGTCTGAAAAGTTTCCGACCACAACTTGAAGATGGCAGCACTCGTAAATAAAAGCTAGTGAATTTCATTGTTCATCTGTTGACAGTTACCCACCAAAGTTTTAGCCATTTTGGACACGTAGATTTTATGTAGCAGTTGTTTGAGTGAGTTGATGTGATTGTTTTTGTGAAAATGGACAAAATTGAGTATCGAGCTGTCATTAAATATTTGTTTTTGAAAGGCAATACGCCTACGCAAATCAAAGATGAATTGGATTCTGTATATGAGGACTCTGCACCATGATTTACCACAGAGAAATTTTGGGCAGCTGAATTTAAACGTGGCCGTAAGAGCTTGGGAGACGATGAACGTTTGGGACATCCAAAAACTGCAACTACCGACAAAACCATCGCCAAAGTTTACCAAATGGTGCTTAACGACTGCCGAATTAAAGTGAGAGAGATAGCAGAGGTTATGAACTTGTCAAAAGAATATGTTTGTTACATATTAAATAAACATTTAGATATGAGAAAGCTGTCCTCACGTTGAGTGCCGCGTTTGCTCACGTTAGACTGAATATGTGTTTGAATGAACATTTCCAACTCTATATTGGCAAAGTTTTGGCGCTGATTAATTACTGTAGATGAAACTTGAACGTACCATTATACGGCCGAAACAAAAATACAGTCTAAACAGTGGACTGCAAAGGGGGAAATGGCTCCATAAAAAGCAAAAACTGTTTTCTCAGCTGAGAAAGTGATGGTGACTGTTTTTTGGGATAGTCATGTTGTTATATTAATCAACTGCCTTCAAAAAGGAAAAACCATTACAGGAGCATACTACACAGGACAAACTGAAGGCAGAAATTATGGAAAAACGGCCATATTTGCAGAAAAATAAAATCCTGTTTCACCAAGGCAATGCACAGTCTCACACTTTACCGGAAAATCCACAAATTACGGTTTGAACTGCTTGACAATCCACCTTACTCAGCAGATCTAGCCCCAAGTGACTTCTTTTTGTTCCCTTATCTAAAAATTTGCTCAGAGGACAGAGATTTTCGTCAAATGAAGAGGCAATAACCTTTGTGCACAATTATTTTGCAGAGAAAAACGCCGAGTACTTTTTAGACGGGTTACAGAGATGAGAGCATCGCTGGGAGAAGTGTGTAGAGTTACAAGGAAACTATGTTGAAAAATTAAAAAAAACTTCAGAAAAAATGTCTTGTATTTTTGTTAAGTCTGAAACTTTTCAGACCACCCTCGTATGTACCGCCAAAGGGAGTAAAATGTATAGCATTTCCAAATCAATGTAACCCAGTATAATATATTCTAAAAATAATATTTTAACTTTGATAATAACTTTTTAAAACTCCGCCAGAGGAACCAGCTCTGCTGAGAACACTGCCAAACCCAAGCCTGGATGAAGTAGGAAGGTTGAGGTGAGTCTGACAAACTCACCTCATAAAAAGACTATCAAAGAAACTGCAAATGTTTTTTGTATGACAATGGTAAAGAGAATCCCCATGGGGGCCTATTCGGATTCAGGAGAAACCCAGCCAATGCCTTTTAGTACAAACAGCAGAAGTAGAGAAGAAAGGCGAATGTCAAAAGGTTTTAGAAATAATAAGAAAATAAATATGAGAGTCGGAACTTGGAATATTAGGAGTTTACTAAAAGCAGGAACACTTGAGAAAGAGTTGGATAAATATAAAGTGGACGTGGCAGCCTTTCTAGCAATCCGATGGAGTGGGATAGATCTAGTGACACAAGATAAATACATCTTAATTAACAGTGAAAACAAACTAGGGACTGGTTTCATGATAAAAAAGAGTCTCAAACAGTCATTGATGGACTATGAAGCAGTAGATGAACAAATTTGCACAATTAGGTTAAAAGTAAAATTTGCTAATTTGTCAACCATCAGCGTACACGCACCTACAGAAGAAAAAGGAGAAAGAGATAAGGTAGAATTTTATGGACACCTTGAGATGGTATATGACTCACTCTTAAAGTACGATGTAAAATTGATTTTAGGAGACTTAATGCAAAAATAGAAAGGGAAGAAATGTTTAGTCGTACCATAGGACATCATAGTAAGCATGAAGAGTCAAACGATAATGGAATGAGGGTGGTCAGTTTTGCAATGGATAAAGGATTAAGAGTGATGAGTACATACTCCCTGCACAAACTAGCACATAAGGCTACATGGAGATCTCCTGATGAAACATCTGAAAATCAGATAGACCTTATAATGGTAGATACAATACACGCATCACACACTTTAGATATGCTAAGCTACAGAAGAACATGTAGCAATGGTGACCACTACTTGGTACTGACCAAGCATAAGCCGAGTTTGGCTGGAAAACTCTACAAAATGTTGAAAAGAGATCAATCTATGATTCAGAAAAACTAAGAATAGAAGGTGTAAGGAAGAAGGATCAGGAAATATTGGATGAACGAAGGAATTTAGATATGGCTGAGATGTCAACAATAGATGATCATTAGAGAAAGATAAAAAGCATCTTGAAAGGGGCTGCGGAGGAAGTGCTGGGAAGGAGAACAAAGAAAAACAGTAAAGACTGATTTGATCATGAATGCAAGGTAGTGATAAAGCAGAAAAAATTTCATTTAAAAAATGAAGCTCGGATGAGAAACATGCAAAGAACAACACAGCAAACAATAGATTCGTATAGAGAAAAAAACCGAAATTGGCAAATAAATTATTCCAAAAAGTAGAAAAGGCTACTGGAGATAGAAAGACTGCAGAAAACAGAAGAATACTTAAAGGAAAATGATAGCCAACAATTCTTTAGGAACATTAAGAAAATAAGAACAGGTTACCGCCCAAGAGAAATTTTCATCAAAGACAAGAACGGCAAACTCCTAGGTGACGACACAGAGATATTGTAGAGATGGGTCGATCATTTTCAGGAGATCTTGGATGATATTCAAGAGGTAGAGGTAGAGGCAGAGGAGCTACCAAATGAGAGAACTCTGATAAGCTGTGCACTATGTGAAGTAGAGAACTTAGATGAGATAGAGATTCCTCCAGAGATGGAAGAGATTACAGAAATCATCTCTCAGCTCAAAAATAATAAAGCATCAAACCTGGACAAAATTCAAAACGAGATGATCAAAAATACAGAAGTGTGGGAAGACATTTACAATGTTATTTTCGATGTATGGAGATTGGAGAAAATACCCAATGAATGGTCTGAATCCCTGATATGCCCAATATATAAAAAAATAAATACAACTGAGTGCAGAAATTACAGAGGAATTTCATTAGTTAACACTCTTTACAAAATATTATCAATCACAATCAGCAGAAGATTAACGAAGTGGGCGGAAACGGTTCAGGGTGATTATCAGTGTGGATTTAGACCGGGTAGGTCAACTATAGACCAGATTTTTTCATTAAGGCAAATGCTGGAGAAAGTCTGTGAGTACGATGTTACAATACATCATTTGTTTGTGGACTTCAGACAAACATATGATTCAGTTATAAGGGAAAAAATGTATGAGCGACTGAAGAAACTAGGAACTCCAATGAAATTAATTAGTATGGTCAGGATGACACTCACAGATACATCCAGTAGAGTGCTTTATAATGAGAGGCTCTCACAAAAATTAAAAATTTTGAAGGTCTTAGAGGAGGAGATCCACTATATACAGTGCTTTTTAACCTGGTATTGGAAGCAGCCATAAGGAAAATAAAAACGAATGGTGGAGTTTCAATTTACAATCGCATGACATAGCATTTAGTATATGCACACAATGTTCTCATCACAGCATGAACTGTACCAGCATTTTCAGGCGCTCTTGGAGAATTCCTCAGGGAAGTTGGAGAATAAGGCCTGGAAATTAATACAGATAAGAGCATGTATATGCGAACCTCAAGAACAGACCAGAGTACAGGAGAAGAAATAAGGATAGGGAATTGGAGATTCAAGAGCTGTGACGAATTGAAGTACCTAGGTAGCACGATCACCTGCAAGAATCAAGTAGAGAAAGATATTAAAGCCCTTATAGTTACCCTTACAGTGTACAGAAAGTGCAGTGTTGAATTGCAAAAATATGTCAAGAAAGACGAAAACTGTAATATATAAAACAATTCTGAGGCCTGTTGTGACATATGGAAGCATGACATGGACTATGATTACAGAAAGCAAAAGGATGCTCCATGTTTGAGAAAGGAAAGTACTCCAAAAAATATATGGGCTAATCAAAGTAGTGGCTCAATAGAGAATTAGGTCTAATCTAGAGCTATATGGTGAATATGATATTAGAGTCATTCAACTCAATAGATTGCGATGGTTGGGTCATGTGGAAAGGATGGAACCTACAAGAATACCGAGAAAACTTCCCTATGAAAAGCCGGTAGATGGAAGAAGGCGGGGAAAGCCTCGGCTCAAATGGTTTGGCGAAGTGGGAGGTAACCTGAAGGGGATGGCTGTAAAACAGTGGAGGCTCTTTGCTGCTAACAGGGATATGTGGAAGAGGACTTAAGCAGAGGACATGGTTCTTCAAGGACTTTAGAGCCCAGCAATGAATGAAAATAACCATTTAAAGGGTTACTGCATATTTTTTCAATACCTGTTTTTTTTTTTAAAAGATAGTTAAGGTTTTCAACATAATATTAATATCTTATTTATTTATTTCTATGAGGGGCAGGGCACCTATCATGAATTTAATATTTTTAGTGATTTATATTTTAGAAAATGTTAATTGAGGCTCCTAAGTATTAAATGCTAAAAAGAATGACAAATAATGGGGAGGCCAATCTAGGATATGAAGCCAGACCTGGTTCAGATAGTAGGAGAAACCGAGGAAGACCAAGACACATCTAAGTGGGTGGAGTCAGAGAGGTCTTTTACAGACTGGCTATCTGGAACTAGCTGAGTGAGTTAACAGTGGACGAAGCCACTTGGAAGCAGCATTATGAAAGGAAACTTCACACTGAATAGTGAGAGAACACTGGAATATGATAATGATGATATTTGGAACCTTTTTGATTCCAGGGCTTAATTTAAAAAGTTATATGTATTATATATAATAAATATGTAACTAATGATTGACTTGAAAAAGAAAGATGACCTGAAGTTATTTCATTAATTTAAGTTGAGTTTAACATACAAATCACAATACCATATAGTCATTGACTGAATGAAACTAAAGAGTAATCTTGACTTAAGTACAATGTTTTTCTTTTAAGAAATATAATTCATTTGTAATCAAACTAACCTGAACTTTCATTTGTAATGGTGCATTCTCATCCGATAAATATTGGTGATAGAGTGATTTTAACTCATCCGTTAACATAAGTTCATAATGTCTGATGCAGACAGAACCAAGAGCTTTCATGGTATAATGCTGGGAATCTTGATCACGGTGTAAAAAATAAAGGAATGTATCTATAACTTCATCTTTGATATTACTCTAAAAAAAAAAGTAATGATTTCAATATATTTGTTAAAATTAAAGAAATATTTAAATATTTCAGTAATATAATTAAAGTCTTCATTGTGTTGCACATCTCAATAATTTTTATTAAAACATATATAGATACTAAGGATGCTACGCAGAGTCATTCACTAAAGATCCCTTTACCTTAAATAATCCTTTCATCACCATTGAAACCTGTTTTATAGACAGAGTAACTCCTCAAAGCTGCTCCCTTAAAGCCTCCTTCAATTGGCAGTTAAAGAAGAAAAAAAGGCACCTAAGCTTCTTTAAACCCTCCTTACCCTCAGTTCAAACTCATTTGAACTAACAGGAGAAGCAATTTTCATTATTTTTCACTTACATTTTCTATATTAAATAGAAATCAATAAAAAAGCTTTTTTTTTTTAATCATGATAATAATTCATGGACTATTTACACAAGAAAAGCTTATTGGATCATATGACAGAACATCCTTAAATGGTCTTGAAAACGATGAGGACATTGAATTCCATAAATTGTGTTACTGGAATTAGAGGCTAATCAATTAAATAGGGGTTAGCCTGTAGCCATGACAATTCTTTAAACATCTTCAACAAACCTTGTTTTTGTTTTAACTTATCTCCAAACTATTGAAATCTTATATGATTTAAATTCCTCCACACACTTTCCTTTCAATCCTTCATTTTATTTATGTTTATTATATTATTCATAGTAATTATATTTGCATTGATAATAATGTATTTTTCTTATATTTTTTTTTTTTAGTTTTCTAAAATGAACAATTAACAATATTTATAATGATTATTTGAATTGACTGTCAAAACGAACTGCTCAAAATCTACTGTATCAACCTCTTTAGAATGTTTAAATATGAAGATTTACACATATGAATCTTGTGAATTTTCAGTTTTCACCTTAATCAAAAATTCAACAGATATCTTCACCTTCCTATTACTTAATTTTCATCTTCAACTACATATACATCTTTCGTATTTACCTATTTAACAGTGAATTTCCATTTATTCATGATATCTGCCTTACAAACTTTCAGGTATAATTAGGTTTTATAGTTTCATTTACAATCACAATAATTGTTTTATATTACAGTTGTAACGAGTATATAGTGGAGTGTTATATATGTCAGGTTATGTACACACAGCTGGAATGAGCAAAGAGGTTGTGTAAGATGGATTTTTTAATGCCGCTTGCATTTGATTCTTTTAATTTTTTCTTTTTGTTTAGTTAAACCATGTTTTTTTGGTTATCATTAATTTTCTTTATAATTATTATGCTATAGTATTTCTCATTTTAGTCAGTAACAAATCCATTAGTGATCTATCATCAGCTGTAGTAGTTTTGTGTTGGAGAATGAGGTGTTTTTTCTTCTTTATTTTTATTAATTGTTTTCTATTGTTATATTTTGGCTACGACCTGCAAATTGTAATTAGACCTCTCGTTTGGGGTATTGGATTTGTAATAAAGTAAATTGTCGGAAAGAAGGTTTTATTTCTTTCACTTACACCCCCATTACCACTAAACAGTTATTATCATTATTTATTTGTATTTTAGATCTTATGTCATTGACCATAAGCAGTTGTTTAATTTTTTATGTGTTCCTTCTTAAATTTTGCTGTTTATTATATACTTTCTTACCTCTTCAAGAAAGAACTTTCTGTTTTAATTATACTGAGTAGACATTTTATATTTTATTTACTTATTCATGAATTTTTCTGTTTCCTTTATATTAAGTATTTCATTCTATTTAATTTTTTCTTCTGTAATTAATCTTTACATTTCTTTAACTAAAATCTATTTTGCATCAAGAATAGCAATTAAGATTAAAATGAAACTAATCAAGACCAATGAATGTTACTTTAAAACGAGAAATCTCATTTCCAGTAAATTAATCTGAAAGGGGGCAAAAATGAGTTTGTATAAGACCCATATCCAGCAAGTGCTAATCTCTTTCTTTTATTTTTACTTTCACTTACGTATATATTTAATATATAGTAAGGGTAAGTATTGCGATCGTGAAAATTTTCGAATCTCACATATTTTGAGGTCTCTTGAGTTCAAAATGGTTCTTGGTTATTACCAAGTGTCGCAAAATGGTCTGTGTGTGTGTTAACAGTCTAACTCATAAACGAAAATTAGTACGAAACTGATATTAATATTAAATATTTAGGGTTTGTATATGGGCCGGATGTGACAGCAACTTTTTCGTTAAAATTGGCTAACCGGAAGTGACACTTTATATGAATGCTGAAACACATTTTTACAATTTTCTCAAAAACGACTAATGATTTTGATCAAACTCGGTGTATCATTGTATAATTAAGTGGTCTTTAATATCATTTAGGTCTTATCCCCGTTGATGTCACTTTACAGGGCGTAAATGCCCAATGTTCATATATGTCTTCCTCTAAAGTACCTATAATATGGTTTATTTAAAAAAGTTAACCATTTCACATTATTCAGAGTTATGAAAAAATGCTACATATAACTTTTGAAAGAATTTGATAAGTTAATAAAGGAGAAAAGACTGTAGCGCCTAAACGAATGTACCGATTTCAATGAAACTTCGATAAAGTCATTTTCTCGATACCCTTTAAATTTATCTATATAACATACTTCAACGAAAAGGAGCTGGAAAAAAAGTTATGAGGGATGTTAAAATTAAATTCCGAATAACTAAAAAAGTATATGCTTTTTTATGATATTGTATATGTTTTTTTAGAAATTTTTGGAATTTCCTAAAAAAAAAAAAAAAAAAAAAAATGGTTAAAATCGGACAATTAGGAAGAAAGATATGGTCTCTAGTTTTTTTCCCTGAAGAGTCGAAAATTTGGATAAATTTAAAATATATCTTTTTAATTGTTGAGACTAAAAAAACCTTTTTTCTACAGATATTTAATAAAGTGTCTTTCCTAAGAACATCTTCCATAATAAATAAGTACCTAAATTTACACCTTTATTCTCAGTTCTATATTTCAACACTGCAATCATCACCTCTGGAATCAACTTACTCATTGTCTGCATAGATAACTTTTTCAACTAAAAATATCACTAAAATGACATCACTCAAAAATGTTGAAATTGGAGTTAGTCATTCTGTGGTTTATAAAAGCAAAGAAAGTTGTGTGGTTTATAAAAGCAGATGGAGCGACTAGACTTTTTATTGCCTGTCATTGATATATTAAATAGACATTTTGTAATTATAATGGTCTTAATGACTTGTCATCTGTAAGCTTTAAGCTTTAGCTCCGTTTAAAATGCACTTCAAAAAATTTTATAATAGCCCACCATTGCCAGAAAATAATTTCTATTCAAAGTAGATTGGTAAGTGAAAGTTGTGTGTTGCACGCACCAGATTTTTTTTTTTGTCTCTCCCTGCCCAAATTCACAGTCAATTGCTATATAAGTGATAGTGGCTGATCCCTAGAGTCTAGAATAATATTCTCAGCCAATATCGCAAGCTCCCCAACATCAACACCTAGTTCCTCGAGGAAGTTCCTTGTTCTTTTTGGGATTGCTCCGCGAGACCCAAACCAGGAGCTTGGTTGGTAACACCCAGGCCAAGGAAGGAGATAGGTTATTCAAAATAAGGCCATTTGTAGATAAAATTACAAAAGCGTTCGGAGAATCATTTTCGCCATTCAAAAATGTCTGTATCGACGAAAGCCTTTTATTGTTCAAGGGAAATTTATTCTTCAAACAATTTATTCTGTCTAAAAGGACTAAATTTGGAATAAAAACCTATGTTCTATGTGATTGTCAAACAAGATAGGTATTGCGTATCTTTTACTAGACTTCATCCTCTACACAGGAGCGAAGGCAGACATTATAGAAAATGGTATTGAAAATATCGGCAAGTCGAGTGACATTGTTCTGACACTTTTGGAGCCATATTTGAAAAATGGCCATACCATATATGTGGACAACTGGTATACCAGCCCAGCACTGTTTTGTTGGCTACACGATGTGGCAATCAATGCTTGCGGAACAGTGAGAAAAAACAGAAAAGATTTGCCGAAAATGGAAGAAAATTTAAAAAAGGGACAAATTGAATTTAGGTCCACAGGTCCACAGATACATTATTAGCTTTGAAGTGGTCAGACCGACGAGAAGTTTGGATGCAATACATAATGCGGATATCACTTGAACCGGTAAAATAGATTATAAAACTGGTGAATTGATAAAAAAAAACAAACGGTGTTATTGAATACAACAAAAATATGAGAGCAGTAGATAGAGTAGACATGATATTGAGTTCTATAGAATCTGTCAGAAAAATCATGAAATGGTACTAAAAACTTTCTTCATATTTTGGATTTATCTATACTAAATGCTCACACGTTGCACAAAATTGTGACTGAGGAAAATATGACAATGGAAAAGTTCCATTTATCTCTTTTTAGGCAAATTTTAGAAAAATATTGCAGTGAAAGAAAGAAATCTGGAGGAACAAGATCGAACTAAAATTTGCCCCTATGCCTGAAGGAGAGACATTTTCCCAGTCTCATCGCTATAGACTCTAAAAAAAAAATATATACATACAGAAGGTGTTTAGTATGTTCAAAAAAACAATAATTGGCCCAAAAACAAAATAGAATGTCGCAATTATAAATTTTCTCTTTGTATTGACAAATGTTTTGAAGATTATCAAATTTAATTTAATTAAATTATTAAATAAATATTTAAACTTATAAAAACAAGTTTTAACTCCGCCAGAGTCATTCTACAGCTTAATCTAAAAGAAGGATGGAAACTAAAATAAGGTTAACAGCTAGTAGTAAGAGCCGGTAGTCAGGGCGCTGGCTTATTCAGCCTCATGGTAGACGTAAAGCTCGTCATTCGCAACAGCAAAAAGGTTAAAGAATCAAGCACAGATTTAATAGAACATTGATATGCCCAAGGAAGTATGTTTATGACTAGTTAATCTCCTGGTGATAAGCGAAAGATAATATGTTTTTAATGAGAAATATTACTATCTGTTTCATTTAGGAGAATTTTAAATGAAGATAAAGGAGATCACATTTTAAAATAACAAAATTAATAAAAACTAAGAACATTACATTTCATGTTCAATGAATATTTTAAAACACATTTGTATATAATATTTACACTCGGCCTTGGGCATTTCAAACCAACCTTGACCAGCATTGAAGAAAAAATAAATTTTCTGCCACAGGTGGGCTCAAACATAGAATTAAGAGTTGAGAGTATGGTTGCCAACTAAGCAACCTTAGTATTTATAATTGGTTGCCAACTCATTTCTTAAAAGATAACATATAAGATTAATATAACTTACAGGGAGTTGATCACCAATTACTTCAGGATCAGTAAAGTCAAAAAATCTTAGCAGTAGCCCAACAACAAACAAGGATCTTCTAAAAGATGGTTTCATACGTAAATGAAAAGCAGTGGCACCTTCAGTATTATTTTCTAACATTGCTCTTGTTGCCTTTAAAAATCCTATAATTAAATAAAAATAAAAATAAATCAACTCCTTTACTAAACAACAAATAAAATGTAATTAAATATAAATAATAACAACAAATTTCAACTTAGCATGCAATTCTATATTTTAACAAATGATTCATAAACACATTGATAAAACAACTTGTATGCAACAATAAATAATCAGAAACTAGAATAAAATATAGATCAGCATATTATAGTATGAAAACAAACTCATATGACAATAACAGATGTTTTAGTAACATAATATTTAATAAGCAAAACTTGTCAGATAAAATACATTAAAATTAGACCCCATAATTTAACAAAATGAATTGAATAATGAACTATATTATGAGTATCTATATATTATTTCAGAATTAGAGTAAGAATTATATATTATTTTTAGGTTTAGCTAAAACATATTACATTGTTGTTTATGTTGCATTTCATGATGCCCACAATACTGTACTGACCAGACTAGTTGACTACCCCTCACTTCAGAATTAAAATAGGTGATAAAAAGTACATTAACATAGTAACACCAAAATTATTTCCTTCACACAACAAAATTCCTAGTTAATATTGAAATATATTTATGCAACACAGTTCTAATATTTTAAGTTAAGAACAAAAATGACTGAAGCATATTGGATTTTGAAGTTAACTCCTGTTCAAAAGGGCTTTTTCATTTTACACCTTAAAATCATTTGTTACAGCAGAAATACTAGGTAGAAGAATAAAAAGGAATCATTAGTTTGATGTAATGATGGTTTTATGGCCAAAATACATATTTCATTTGTCAATTTCATGTATCATACATCACTATTTTTTCATTGCTCACCATTATCTGTCTTATAATATTATATCACTGATTGTATTATTAAACAATTTTTCAGCCATGATAACATGCTTGTTTGAATTTTATCACCTATGATATGTAGAACAGTCGATTAACTTCCTTCAATAATATTTAGTGTGTACAACTTTGATTTCTTAGAGTGTACAAGCTCAAATAAAAATAAAATGTTTTTCACAGTCCAACTAGTTTGTAGTAGAAAATGTAGCCAGCTAGTCGAATTTTCTTAATCGATTTTAGTTTACACATTTTATTCATTCAAGTAGTTAATTTATACTTGATTTTAATTTTTTTAGCTCAAATTATTGGGGGAGGAGAGAGGGGAGCAAAACGATATTCTCACCCCCTAAACATTTTTATTGTAAGAGACGATCACTACCTTTTCTCACTCCTCCAAAGTCTGTGCCTATGAGTAACATACTTAGTATGCAATTTCCGAAGTTATTTTAGTAGGCAATTTTTTTTTTTTTTTTATAAGAAAAATGAATTTTCAATAATAAAAAGTAGGGATTAATTAAATAAATATAAATTTAAACATGAAAACTAATTGAATGATAATTAATAATTAAAAATAATTTACAAACTAAAAATAATTAATTAAAAGTAAGAATTATTTCTTACCATGATATTTTTTTAAGCAATCTCGGATTAAAGGAAAATTTCTTGTAACATTGTTTACAATTGAGCCAAGGCAAGAGACACAACTTAAAACAACAGAGGGATCTTGCTGCATCATTAGTTTTACAGAATCTTCCTCCAACCGAGAAAGAAACATTTCACTTGGGTGTTCAATTAATGGAACAACAAGTTCCAAAGTACGAGCTACACAACTGATCACCTGGTAGTCTCCTTGAGTCTGAAAATTCAATTTAAAACCAAATATAGAACTTCAACCAGAATAAAATAATATTTCCGCATTTAGATAGATAGATAGATAGAAAATAACTTCTTCCTGGGACAAAGTCCCTTTAGAATATAAAAATAATATAAAATTAAATTATTACATCTGGCCTAAATAAAAACAATAACAAAAAGAAAAAAGTAAAGAAAACATTAGTTAAACAAGCTATATACAACAAAAATAAACCTATATACAAAACACTTAAAACTATGACAAGACACTTAAAACTATCTACAGTGGTCAAAAATTATAATTATACACTTTTAAGAAAAATATATTAAGTTCTTCTTTAAAATAAGCTCTGTGTTTCTGCAGATAAAGGAAAGTTGAATCAGACAAAATAAAATATCAGGATATTTAAATAATGAATAATATGTAAATACATCATTATCTTTTTGTAACTATAGTTACGAATTTAGTTGTATAAGAATAAAAAATAATAGTAAAAACAAACAATAGATGCATTCAGTGGCATTAAGAGTAGGAAGATATTGCAATACCCCTAGTTAGGGATGGGTCGTTACAGATTTTTAGTGTACCTGTTCCAATCCGTTCCATTCCCCAAACAGAACTGTTCCAAATTATCGATACCGTTCCAAAGCCGTTACTCCAGAATTTACAACCTAGGCATGGGAGATAGTTTTCCACTATCGATGAAAAATTAGCGGTAGTATCGATAGATTTCCACTATCGATGAAAAACTAGCGGTAATATCGATAGTTCAGCGACTTCCCACCATAGACTAAAGAAGGATTTATTTGCGCTCTATTTTTTGTTCATTTACTTTAAAATGTTGCATAAGCTTCAATTTAATTAATATAAAATATAACATTTAAAATTAACGTTTATGTGAAATGTAACATAAATATGAAATAAAACGTTTAAAATTATAAATTTTATATTTCGATTTTTACAAGATTGAAAATCCAATTATATGGTTACAGTCATATTGCAAATAATCTTAAGAAAGCAAAGAAAATTAATTAAAATTAAAGAAAAGGAACATAAAAGTAACGTTAGTAAAGAAAACTAATTACAAAGATAAATGTTGGTGTCTAAAAATGCGATTTTTTTTTCTCATAAAATTGAAGAAGTAATAGTAACAAGTACTAATATATTTTTAATAATATAAACAAATTTTTAAAGGATTCGTTTCAATATGTTTTGGCTTCTTCGTTGCAACATCTTTCGAAACAGAATTATTAAGAAGAAATCAATATAAGTCAATTAATAATTACAGGCAAAGTATTTTACAAATTACAATATTTTTTTCATTTTTAAAAATAATATATATTGTTACAAATGCTTTTAAAAAAATGTACGAAACAAAATTAGTAGAAACGTAGATGCTACTTAGGGTAATGTACTATTGTATGTTAAAATAAAAATGTAAAAAGTTTCATGCAATCATGTTTTTAGGATAATTAAGATTACCAATTTTTTGTGTTTATGGTTTTAAACATTTTAGAACTTGAATTATTTAATATTTTCGTAAATAAGTTTATGTTTAAAATAGTGAGACATAATTAAAATAAGAAAATTACTTAAATAACAGGAGTTGCCATTTCTCCATTCCTTATTTAACCGTCCTCCCCACTCCTTATCTATCCAGCTGGAACAGAATTGGAACTGGTCTGGAACAATTTGCCAACCGTTCCTCCCCACTCCTTATCGATCCAGCTGGAACAGAATTGGAACTGGTCTGGAACGATTTGCCAACCGTTCCTCCCCACTCCTTATCGATCCAGCTGGAACAGAATTGGAACGGGTCTGGAACGATTTGCCAACTGTTCATCTGTTACTTATCCAACCGGCGGTATCGATAATTCTCAGTCGTTGGAATAGTTCCGTTCCGTTTCATAGAGAGATTAAGTTCCCATTCCCGATCCAGTTCCATTGACCCATCCCTACCCCTAGTGAAGTTTAAAGTAAGGAATAGTACCATCATTTTATGATGAATGGTATAAAATAAATGTATGTCAAAAGGTTAGTGAGTATCTGACTGATTTTGGGACAGAAATTGGAATAGGAGGGTTCTGAATGTGCATATAGAGGGTGAATGCCATGGAATAGTTTAAGGGTAGAAATTGTTCATCGGGAAATTTGAGAAATTGTTCCAGGAGGGGGTTTGATCGATGAAAAATCCTAAATTTTTAACAGAGGAGTAGAAGGATATTGGCTGTCATTAAGGAGTAGTATGGGAAAGCCGGTATGAGATCTAATATGGAACTTTGAACCAATGATAAATATATAATAGATAAGGCTAGATGAACTTTGATAGATGAATCTTTTTTACCAAAAGGTGTTGTTTCTTGAGCGATCTGCCGTTTCTGTGCCGCTGCTATTATGATAGCAGCCTTTGGCATTTAAAAATTGGCAGACTTAATTTTTAAAAATTCAACTTAGGAGTAATAAATTTATAAACTTTAGGAACCTTGAAATTATAACTACAATGAATGGATGTGGTAAAAGGAAGAAATAACATTGTCTGCCTCTTTTAGGCCGTGGCGATCTACCGGCAAACAATAATTAAAAAATTGCAATTTTAGGCGTCAAAATTCACCGCTGTTAGGGTGCTTGAAATTTTACTACATGAAAATATTCGGGTTAAGAAAAGGAAATAACATTGTCTGTCTCTGATAGCTAGCGGATATCCACTGGCAGACTCAAATTCATAAATAGCAATTTCTGGTATAAAAAGTTACCAACTTCACGAGGCTTGAAATTTTAAAGTAAACAAGTATTTGGTTTATAATAAAAAAATAACGTTTTCTGCCATTGTTAGGCCGCGGAAATCCACCAGCAGACTCAGATTCAAAAATTGCAATTTTAGAAGTACAAATTCACCAATTTAAGGTGGCTTGAAATTTTGTTTTATAATACTTCCATATTTCTTGTTGATTAAAAATGCAGTTTGCCATTGATAGGCCGTTGCTTTGTACTGGCAGAGTGAGATCAAAACTGTAATGAACGTGACGATGCCGTCTCTTAGTAGCCCCAAGAGCCTGGTAGAACTCTGAAATGGCGGCCTTTCTAAAATCACAGGTGGTCACTAAAAACTCTATAATATATTATTTGAAGACGTTTATTTAGTTTCTTTTATTAGACTGGATATTCACCTAATACAAACTTTGTATGGCCATCATAGGTGGTGGATACATATTTATCTTTTTTCAACAGGGAAAATTATTTATCGACACCATATGCTACCACCAAACGATTTTAATTTGAACAAAATGTGTTTTTTAATGGTATAAAATTACATCACAATAGCTTCTAAAATCTTTTAAACTTGCTATCCATACTTAGATAAAAAAATCACACATGTCAATAATAAAATATTTTAATTAAAAGTTATTTGAAATAAAAGCAGAAGATCTTACTTTAACCCTCGTGTTAATAACTGATGGCACCCACTTATATGTCTGTATTATTTTTGTAGGTATTTAGTTTTTTTGTAACCTTTATATCTCTATATAAATAAATGCATTTTATATATAAATAGTATATATCATTGATACATACCTATAGCACTTGAATAAGTTATGTATTATACAGGATTTCCCGTAAAAGGTAATGGTAGACCTTAGGAGCTACAAAATAACTTATATAAACCATGGTTCTTCATTTTATGTTTATATGATATATAGTTTATATGCCTTTAAATTGATACATGTATTATGCTTAATGCATGGCGCAAGTTCAAAGTAACAAACAAATAAATCATGCTCCAATTTTTCCTGGAAAAGCAGAAAATTTAAGTTTTGTTCCCTTTTATAGGAAGGCACATTGTTTGATGAATAGGAAGTGATTACTAAACAAAACAATTAATTTAAGTAATTAACAATTATTTCATGGTATACAATTGTTTTCAGAAGGAAACTTTGTTTTTCTTAAATTCATTTAAAGGGCTAAACCGCGCTAATTTCTCTTATTAACCTTAATTTTATGCATGATTTTTTTTATCGCTTCCCAATTAGACTAAAGATATTCCACTATTAGAAAAACATCTTTGTTAAATAAGTTTTAAGTTTTTATTATTTAATTTGCATGTGCTTCATGTATTAAGCATAATACATGTATCACTTCAATTTAAGGATATATCAACTATAAATCTTATAAACATATATTTTAAGGAGCATGGATTATATAAACCCTTTTGTAGCCCTTGAGGTTAACTTATAACCTCTTTAAATATTTCCTTTTACTTACAGGATACCCAGTATGATACATATTTAAAATACTTATTCAACTTTTATACATGTATATGCGTTTACATAAAGAGTGTTAGCAGTTGAGTAATGAAAAATACAAAAGTTAAGTTTTTCTGAAAAATTTCGGAATTTACACATGATGTTTTGTATGATTACTCTTAGTTTTGAAAGGTTGAAGATAAAAATAGTAAAATAATATATAAAATTGAAGAAATTTTGAAGTTCAACAGCTTTCTTTCCCGTTTCTTTTTGTAGAATGAAAAGATGAAGAGTTAGCTAGTCAAATAACGATAAAGATGCGAGAAAAACTTGTTTTTTCTTGATATTAGCGAATTAGGAGAATTGATATCTAGGAAACTATACAAGATACCAAAAAAAACAAAACAATATAAGCACTCCTGTTCTAAATTTGTTTTAGTTTTAATTTTATATACAACGTCTTCATTCATTTCTCCATAGCACTAAGTAAGGGTTGTAATGCTGGATACGAATATATATATTGAATACCAGAAAATGAAAAATAAATCGATGATCTCAGTCCAAGTAATATTTTATTATAGAAATCTTATATTTGAATTTTAAAATATTCATGGAACATAAAAACATACTGGTTTTAGTTAAGAAATGTTTTACAAATCATTAAATGACTTTATTTAACAATAATAATATGGATGGGAAAGAAATATTTTACTGTTAATAACTTGGCTTCTAAACTCTTGTCCCCCTAGATTCATAATTGGCCACGTTTTGCATAATTTGAGATTTTAAATAATTTTTTAGGCAAATATTTTAATTGAAAGTTATTTGAAATAAAAGCAGATCTTACTATAACCCTCGTGTTAGTAACATATGTCACCCACTTATATATCAATGTTATTTTTGTAGGTATTTCATTTTTTTGTAACCTACCTAATTATTTCTGTAGTTTTCAAGGTGTATGATTACAAAGGGAACAATCAAATCATAGTAAAAGAAATAAACTTGATATAATATTGGAATTGTAAACAAACCAATGATTATGAAGAACAACCTTCTTTCAATTGTAATGGAATGATCGTTGGTATCTTTCAGAATTCTGATCATAAATATGAAATTATCCTTAGGTCATATTACTGTACAAGTATACACAAAAAAAAAAAGGAACCTAGGAAGTTTCTTGGGGCAAGACCTATAAAAAATAGAAAAGACCTATAAAGAGGAAGATCTCGGAAAATATGGATGAATGAAATAGCCAAGATGGAAGAGAGAAGAGGCTAGCAGTTAGGTACTATAAGGATGCTGGTGAAGGACTGAAAATACTGGCAAATAGGGATTGAGGCTCCTCCACACTGAGAGGCACTAAGGAGGAAGAAAAAGAAGAACCAGAATTCTGGATAGAATGGAGAGGAAGAAAAAACATTCAGAATTTTAATATAGCCAATGAACCATTCTCATAAAACCATTATCAGAACAGTAATTAAAAATAAAGGGACAAATAATTATTAAGTTCAAGGGACTTGATAGAATTGTAATCTAAGGTACTCACAAACTCAGATGATGCAATGAGGAATGGAAGATTTATTTATAATATGCCTTTCTAGTTTGTTGTAATGAAGTTATTTTTCACTAAGAGTCAAAAAGTAGTTCACAGTTCATACTGATGGAATTATTTTGTTAAAATGAAGGTGCTATAGGAAAAACAAATCATTTTTTAACGAAATCCAATTATAATTTGTTTCAATAAGGAGTTTGTTGTCCCGAGTTTATAGTAATGAGAGCTTTGTGAACATATAAATTACACAAATACAAAAACCTAATAAATTTAATAAATAAGGAAATAATTAATTTCATAAGAATATTGATATGTTCAATTACCTTGCATTTCAATGATAAATATGGTTGTAATGTAGTTGCATGAACTACCAACAGCTGAGGTCGGATTTTAGCAAACAAATTTAGCATTATCAGACAAGAAACAAGTCTTTGAGGGTCACCATCATTGTTATCTAACTGAATAACTGTTTCTACTAGACAGTCCACTATTTGTCGACAAGCTACTAATATACTCCTAGGAACTTCAACTTGCACTTTATTAACAGTTTCTTCTTTATCTTCTCTTGGTTTAAAGAGCTACAAAATTGATAGATTATAAAAATCAAATAAACCAATATAAGTAAAAAAATGAATAATTTTAAACAACAGTTTCTAATGTTAATAAGCATATTTATGCATTAAATATAATTGAATATTAATTTATGTGGTTATGATTAATTTGTAACAATATTTTCAGTAAAAATGAAGTTCATTGTTAACTTACACTAAGCAAAAGTTGTTCAAACCATTCAATACTTATGTCATTGGATGCTGCAACTACATCAGTTATATTCATTACTTTCCTAACTAAAGCATCAGAATCTAAAACTGGGCGCTCTTTAACAGGTGTGAACCACATATTTTGAAAAACTTCCAGCACAAGTTTCCTTATTCCTAAAAGAACAGAAAAAAAATTAATAGATAGAGCAACAAACTGATTAAAGAACAATGGTGATAAAAAATACATAATTAAAAAAAATTAAGCTTAAGTTAGTTTATAATTTGAAAACGAAATTAATAGTGCAACAATAAAATAATAATATAAGTTCCATTCTTGATTAACAGGAAAATCTATAAGAAGAAAACAAAAAAATTTCTGCAATTACCGTCTTCATCATTGACCCTCCGAATAATCTTCACACAAATTTCAGGAATTTTAGGAAAATCTGGGCATTCAATGCACACATCTTTCAAAATTTTTATGACTCTTTTCCTAACGCTAACACCAGTATCCTAAAAAAATAAAACAATCATAACATATAACAACAAATCATTCTCAATCAGATCATAATAAATACTCATTAGCAACCGCAAATGTAAATGAAATTAAATGAAAAATAATTTTATTCGGGGTAAAGTTCCCTTAGAATAACAGTAGAGTTTCAAAAAGATATACACATCAGTCTGGCAAGTAGTTATAACACAAAAATATACAAAGAATCTTAAGAAAAATACAATGTAACTACGTTTAATTTTAACAAAAACATTTTAAAAATAAATCTTTTGTTCAACATTGTATAAAATAAACAAGGTGTACAAAAGAAATTGCTGAAACCTAAATTAGGATTTAATAAACTGGACATCTAATTAATTTAGCTCAATAACACAAAGATGTCTTCATAAGACAGAATGGACCTTATTCCTAGATCTAAGTTTGTTATATGGTAATTCTCAACTTCCTCTCTTTATTGAATCAATTATTCTGTTTGATTTTCTTTACAATGTCAAATTTTTCTTCATAATATTTTATCCTGTCCTTACCTAGAAAGTAAGCTAAGAAAAAATATCAGAGAAAGACATTGACACCTGGGAAAATAATAAAATATATAATAATTAATAAAATTATTAATGTATATATTACCTAGTTCTGCCATAAATAGTTACAAAAGTTGAACTTTGTTTACATTCTTGGGTACTATTTATATAATCCTTACCTCTATCAGGTTATTTTCATTACATGTCAGGATAGATAATCCTGATCAGTTAACATGGAGTGGGGTGATAAAGAAAACTGAATAGCTGTGATCGCCTTACACAAAGTTGGAAAATGTAGGTCAGAGATTTTCAACACTTTGAAATCTTTGGTATCAGCCGTATGTTCGTGTACTGCACTATAAATAGATATAATGAGACCCTATCTGTATGTGACAGACCTCCACCGGGTCACCACACTGTGAGAACGGCAAATGCAGTGAGAGCAGTGGCTGCTCGAATCAGAAGAAATCCCATTCAAAGACAACAAATCATGTCTCGGGAAATGGGAATCTCCTTCAGATTCAGATCAATGTCTCGCATAATAAAAAGTGACCTTAGGATGGGTGCATTTCGAAGAATGGCAGGACAAAGGCTAACTACTTCCCTAAAAAAAATTAGAGTGAATAGAGGCAAAATGGCAGTTACACGAATGATCTTCATCATAAAATTTTGTTTAGATGAGAAAATTTTTACAATTGAAGAACATTTAATCGCCAAAATGATTGTGTGTAAGCACAAAGCTCTAAAGAAGTCTAGGAAGTCATTGGAAGAGTGGACAGAGGTCATCACCCTTTCTCAGTGATGGTTTGGTGGGGAGTTTGCTTTGATGGCATCACAAAGCTCCATTTTTGTGAAAAAGGAGTTAAAACAGCTGCTAAAAACAATCAGGATGATATTTTGGAACTAGTTGTCAAGCCTCTAAATGATGCTCTGTTAGCTGGAAGTCATTGGGTTTTCCTGTGGGATTTCTCTCCAGCTCACAAGGCCAGGTCAACTCAGCAGTGGCTGCAAAAGAACATTCCAGAGTTCATCTGCCTCGGATTGACCCTTAGGAAGCCCTGATCTCAACCCCCTAGATTATCGGCTTTGGTCCGAACTGGAGAGGATGGCATGCCACACCCAAACTTGGAAAGCCTCAAACAATCTCTGGTCCAAGCAGTTGACTGCTTTCTTCAAGAAGTGCTGCATGCTGCTATTGACGACTGGCCACGGAGATTAAATGCCTCATGTCAAGGCAAAAGGGGGACATTTTGAGTAATTTATTTTTTGTTTTACTCTTTATAGATATACATTTTATTTTCTAAAAAAGTTTTTGAAAAAATAATTTTTCTGTTGAAATCAGTATATATTTCCTTGTAACAATATTTATGACAGGATTAGGTATATTAATCAGGCATTCCTTTCCTTTGTTTATTCATTTTCATAAAATTGTGTAATGCACTTTAGAAGGATTGAAAAGAAACAAATAGGACTCAAGCCAACCCTTCATAGGATGAAAATATATAGCTACAAACACATTTACGAATATAGCACAAATTAATGATTACTTTATTAATTTGTTGAACATATCAAATTATACTTATAATTACAAAATAAATATAATGAAGTTATGATCAATAATATAATATTACTTATTTTATTATTATACTCCATTTGTAACTGAGCAGTAGTACGTGTCGCAAATATTATGTAACTTGTTAGTTTCTGTGAGTTTTCTGGATAATTGCCTTGATTTGCATGATATAAAAAAGTGTAGATGGCTTTGCACTAAATAGATATTATAATTCATTTCATTTTGATCAATCAATTCATTTTTCTTTTGATATTGATTATAACCATAAAAATTTAATATTAATAATTCATTTAAAATAAAAGTCTAAAGTATATTTTTTGTTTATAATCAATGGATATTATAAACTTTAGGCAATACTAGTTTTTCATTTATGAAGATAATTTATAAATTGTTTAAAAATATTTTAATAACATTTCAGAAAGTATTTATGAAAATTAACAGTGCCATTGAGTCTTTAATGACAGCCATATAACTGTCTTAGTTATCAGTTATTTTTAGATTTGACAAAGAGGTATATTTTGTTAGCTTTTGACCCCTCCTAAAAAATATTATATTATGGGTTGTAGCTTCCAAAATCTTCTCAGTAGTCAATGCAGGACCGAGAAGCCTGAACTGATTTATCATCACAATCCTCAAGAATAGAAGACATAACGAAAGGAAACCTATTTATAATGTAAAATCATAAGTTTTCACTTTTCCACATTGGGACTTCTTATATAAAGATATCTTATTTTAGATATCACAGTGGATAGCCATAACGCCCAAGCCTTTCATGACTGTGTGTGTGTGTGTGTGTGAATTTATAAAGAAAAGCATGAAGGTGACCCTCACATGACCGATGGGTGATGGTTTGTTGTGGACGTTGGGTCACAGATTACAATGAAACATTTTTTGATGATACTAGATTGGAAAATATGTTTTAAATTAAAAAATATAATTTTTTTAAATTAATTTTATGGGAATTTTTTTTTTAAGTCATTAACTAACTTATTCATGACTCCTCAGGATTTTCCCTTAAGTCAACGTTAATAGCATTATTAAAGCTAAATTATTGCTTTTCAAAACCATATTAATAATGTTTAGATTTTATGGCTTTAAAAAAATTTAAAAAAAAAAACTCCCTAAACATTTCTATTTTTTATCTGCAAGCAACATTTATTTGGGGGTGTCTGGTGGGTGCCATTTCGTGTATATTATAGGGCCTTAAATTCATGCTAATTTTCATGTGGATCAAGTGGAGCCATGTCAAAGTTATCAAAATATTTGTAATTTTCGAAAAAAATTTAAGGCTCCAAGTTGGGCAGAAATTTTGAGCAAAATTTGTTATTTTTCGATTGGTATGAAAATTCGTATTTAATGGTTTTTCGAGGTGTGAAATAAAAATCTCAATTTAGTTTCTCCTTTAAAAAAATATTTTTAGCCACTTTACTCCTTAGATCAGTACAAATTGTTTCAATATTGAACTCATATGATAGCTGAATGTATAAATATATGTATTTTTCTAATAGGAACGGATATAGGAAGTAAGATTACATGCATAAAATCTGTTATTTTGTCAAGATTCTATCCAAAAATAAGAATAATGCATGTATTGTACATATTATACAATCAAAGATATATTTTTTGGGGATAAACCAAGGTGATATTCATTTTCACGCCACTAAAAACCCTTAAATAAGAATTTTCATTGCAATCCAAAAATGTAAATTTACGGCTCAATATTCATCTTTCATAAAACTATAAACATAAATGAAATCAACAGAGCTATTAATAGAATTTTTTTTGAGTATTGAGCAAAAAATTTACATTTATAGTAGATGTTACAACTTAACTATATTTATATTATTCATTTTTTATTATTGCAATGAAAATATCCTCAATATTTCAATATATTTAATAGTTGCAACATCTACTATAAAGCTATAAACATAGATGTATCTCATTAGAGCTATTAATAGTAGGCAGAATATTGAGCAAAAAATTTTAATTTTTCTATTGCAACTTAAATTCGTATTAAACAATTTTTAGAGGAGTGAAAAACGAATATTATCTTTATTTATACCAAATAAATATATATCATGGTATTATATATATTGGGTTGGCAAATAAGTCCTTTCGGTTTTTCTGTTTATTTTTATGTCACAATGATACACTTCTTATTTGATAAATTAATTCCTAAGGTGGATTGTTTATCCTGTTTGTAATATGTCAACAACTATATCTGTTAATGCTTGTTGAAACTAGTTTAGTATTGTGTTTGCTATTGCACTGTGAATATGGAAGAAAATATCATTCATTATTGGCATATTTTGTTGTATTATTTTAAAAAAGGTAAGCATGTTGCAGAAACTCATAGAAAAATTTGCAGTGTTTATGGGGATGATGCCTTAACCGAACGCACCTGTCAAATTTGGTTTGCCAAATTTCATTCAGGAAATTTTGACATCAATGATGCTTAATGGTCTGGTCACCCATATGAAATTAAAACGAGCAATGTTAAGGCCATTGTTGATCAAAATCTCACCCAATCAGTGCAAGAGATCCTATGGTCCTAAATGTGTCGCACACAAGCGTAGAAAATCATTTGCACAAGCTCGGGTAAGATTCCAGGCTTAATGTTTGGGTCCCTCACATGATTTTTATTCGAAAATCACAAATATTGTGATAACTCTGGCATCGCTACTCTTGATCCACATGAAAATTAGCATTAATTTAGGGCCCTATAATATACAAGAAATGGACCAAACTAGACGCCCCAAATAAATTAGGTTTGGAGATAAAAAAATAATAACATTCAGGAAGTTTTTCTATATTTATTCCTTGTAAAGGCATAAAATTTAAACGTTATTGGTATGGTTTTGAAGAGCAATAATTTAGCTATAACATAGTAACGTTGACTTATGAAAAAAAAATCTTCCCATAAAAAAAGTCAAAAATTTACATTTTTTTTATTTCAAAACAAACTCGTATAAAAGAGTTTAAGTGGAAACTAAAAATGAATCTGAATAGTTTTTTGAAGACAAAAATTTACTAAGCCTAGTTTACTGGAAACGTCTTCGGGTTTTTGTAATTTATTATACATTAAAATTTGTTGAATACAATTAGCAATTTTTTTTTCAATAAAAAACAAATCGATTGATATATAAAAACTCAGAAATCAATGCAGAACAAATCCAGAAAACAGTAATATAAAAAAATAATAAAATATTATGTTTTTTTTCTCGGCGAAATTGGCAAGAACCCTCAGGCATGGGAATAATATTTCTCAACCTAGTATCATCTTTTTAGATTAGAGAGAGAAATACTTTATTGAAAGTAATGCTGCCCTACTACTGGTTGCTTTATACACAGCATACTGATCAATCCATATGGACAGAGCTCTTACATTATATTATTCCATTATTATATAAACATAGAATTTCTTTTTCTCCCTTTTCATAACACGTCATATACAATATCATTAATATATCACATTAAACAATTACCATCATATAACACGTATAGTTTCTGAAAAAAAAAAAGTTTAAATGCTAGAAATACAAGACTAAATCACACACACATATATTTAATTTATTAATGCAATTCCATGAATATAGATAAAAAGATAAAAAAAAGCTTAAAAATTAAAATTGAATAAATATATAAATAAATAGATAAATGACAAAAGACATCCTAAATTCAAAGTCAATTATATACAAGTGACAGTGGATGATCCCCATTGAGTCCAGAATAATATTATCCACCAACATCGCTAGCTACCCAACATCAAGACCTAGTTTCTCAAGGAAGCTCCTTGTTCTGGTGAACTCTCTTTCTCTTTCTCCAAAGGTCTCACGGAACTTCTCTTTTAGGAAAGGGATACATTTATCATATATGTTTTTCCCTTTCCAATTCACCTGCCTGATCGAAGACATTGCTCTCTAAGCAGAAAGTTGCATCCAAGATCAGAGCTGTCTTTCCTGTCTTGGGAAATGCAACAATGTCCGCATACTTGGTTGAGCCTTCACTGCCCATACAATAGACCTCTTCGAAGCAGGTGAATTCATTTCCTTTAAGGAGCTTTATCAATTCAAATTTGATTCTATGGTGCCGGTGTGCTATGAGGAGGAAGTTGTTGGGGTTTTTCCCAGCACATGGGTAGGTGTTTCATACTTATGTCACACTTACGACAGAGGAACCCAACTTCTTTCGACTGTCCACTGGCTCCTGGGACTCCACGATAAGATGCGTAATTGATGTTGAGTCTTAAGGCGTTGGACCATTCTGATCCTGAAAACACTTGCTTTTGGCATATCTATTTATTAGCTTTCGGGGTTTCTTTAAAATGCTGAACTCCAACGTCTTGCCACCCCCAACTGGCTCATTCTTCAAAAGAATTTTCTTTTAGCGAATGTCGTAGAGCTCTCACATTTCGGTGGCTCTGATCCACTCCCAATCTTTCTGCACATTCGGCGAATTCTGTATTGTAATCAAATGTAGACTGAAACAGAGCATCCGGTACATTGAAAAGTCATTGGGAAATGGACCAATGCTATAAAGGTGCTTCCCATTGACAACGGATCAGTCCCAATCCTCGATACCTCCTCTGTGCACACAATATTGCGTTGATCTACTAGTGGGGAGTCCAACAATGACGTCGATACACCTGCGAATATTTGTTAGTAAGTTCAACCAATCTTGATTTGGTTAGAGCCCAAGAGAGCTGCAATCACGTTTTTCTGATCCAGTGACACTCCTCCTGCCTTGAGTGAGCTGATTATATGATCGTGACTGATACCAAAAGCGCCGATGACTTTAAGAAATACCACCACGCAATCGTTTTTTCTATTCTTGGTATCTTTTATGATCACGTCAATGATTCTTGTGCTCACATGTGCTCCCGGTAGGTCCCTGATGAAGCCTCTCTGATTTTTGCTGATGTAATCTGTTTTCTCATTTCTTGATTGTGCGCCCTTGATATAGAACCAACTTCAGCATAATCTCTGCAATAGTCATGATGACATGAGATACATCGAAGTATTTTATTGGGCGAATCAAAACACCTTAAGGCCCCGGTGATGTGTCCAATGATGTTGATTTTATAGCTTTTTTTTAACCACTTGGACATTGATGGATGTTAAATTTATCGTCGGGACGCAAATTTCGTAATCCGCACATTTGCAGAGATTTGTATTGTCCAAGAGGTTTATGAAGTGGCCTTTGATTTCGGATACCTCCAGAGGGCATTGCTTAGGAGCATTGGCGTTCATAATATTTTGAACAACTTTTTTTCTTCTATTAAAATAATTATATTGAACTATCTCATATTGGTATTGATCTTGCCGATGACTCTTATCTGCCTTGTTGGCCCTTTGTGGATTCGACACTTTCCCCACACCCTTGACAGCCATGTCGCTTTTATTTTTTCTTCTCAACTTCCTTGAGGAACTTTTTATCGTCGCCTCTCTCGGCAGCCTCAGACATCACGGAGGCCACCACTGCTTCTTGGACTAGGCCTCCTGATCTCAGAACCCATACCTTTTCTTTTGAAATAAGTAAATTCTTTTATAACTACTTGGATTTGAGTCCATATCTTTTTATCCTTACAATAATAATAGCATAAATAAAATTAAATAGAAAAAAAAGAAAATTATCAATAGCAAATATATATAAATACATAAATTCAAAGCATTTACTTGACTTTATTGAATAGGTTTTAAAAGAACAAGTTAATAAATAGGTTAAAATAATTTATAATTAGTTAAAAATTTAAAATTATGCCTGTATGTTAAAAATAAATAAATTTAAAAAATATACAAAAGATAAAATGATGTCAGTAAGTTAAAATTAAATAAATGGATTAAAAATATATGAACAGATTAAATAATGTTAGTAGATTAAATTTATGTAGATAGGTTAAAAATATATATACAAATTAAATTATGTCAGTTGGTTAAAATTAAATAAATAGATTAAAAATGTTTAAAAATATATATTTAGATTAATTAATTAATTAATATGAATAAGTTAAAATTATATAAATAGATTAAAAATATTTAATTATACAAATAGATTAAAAATACCAAAATATATAAATAGATAAGAATACTTAAATAGATAATAAATATATGAGAGGTCAATATACTGGTTAAACAAATCAATAACTACAGAGGAAAATGCGTTCTTGGGGGGAAAATCACTTTTTTAAAGTTTCATTGAAATCGGTGACCCTATGTTTCTTGTAAGATGTGCCTTTAGGGTGTACTTGAAAATTACAACTTAAATGATTAATAGAACTGGCAGGTAAGGCATGAATAGAACAAAGCAGATAGTTTGATTAAGAAGGCTACGACAAGAGAGGAAAGTCCAATTCTAGTGAAGTTTATTTCATAGCTTAAGTTATTGATTTATATCTAGTCTGATTAAGATTCAAATACTTAATGAGAGAATTTGTGATTAATAAAGTTTTAAAAAAATGTTAGTCCTGGAAAACGTTATTGTCAAAGTATTTGAAAACTTATCTTCAAAAACATTCACCAGAGAACCAATAAGTGAGAAATGATAACTGTAAGCAAGGTTTATTTGTTGTAGTTATAGTTTTATTTATAATAGTATAAGTATGTGGTATAAAAGGACTTTCTTTGAAAGTAAGGAGGAGATCGATATTTAAGAAATTTTTATAAATCATTAGAATACATTATTTTATTTTAAAATTTCATTAATCTAAAAGCAGAGAGAGGAACTTATACCTTACAGGGTGAAAATGAATCACAGATGGGCAAATGCTACTCTGAGTACTGAGTACCAAATATTTTACTCAAATACTGACCTTTTTTGAGTACCAAAGAATTTAATTACTGCTTCAGTTAATGTCAAACGATTAACTTAAGTAGTGATTGAATTCCCAATAATGATTCAATTTGAGTAAAATACTTGGTACTCAGTACTCAGAGTAGCATTTACTAATCTCTGCAATGAATGCATCCACTGAAATATTATGTTTAAAGTTTTATAAGCAAATGAAAACAATGTTAACATAATATACATTATACACATACATTTTGTTCACTAAATTAAAAAAAAATTGTATATTGGAAAAACAAGCTAAAATGATGTTTGTTTTTTATTATAAAAGATAAATAAATACTTACCAGTATTCTGGCTGAAAGCATGTCATAATATTTCGGGATCAATTCTGGACGACTAAGAATAAATTTGCCAACCAAATCCACAGCAGCTTCTCTTACAGATGTTGAATGATCAAGAAATGAATGACTGACCTGAAAAAATTAGAATTGGAACAAATAAATAAATAGAGGAACGTATATATCTTATTAAAGCTGATTAAAGCTACTAAAGATTAGTATTTTTTTTTTTAATAGGAAATTACAGTTTACAAATAAAAAATTTCTCATAATACAAAATCTAAAAATGGCAGAAATAAAGGAAATAGATACTGACCCATCAAATAATATCAAGTATTCACTAAACAAATGTTAATTGTTAAAGGAAGTGCAATTGCTCCATTATTATTGCTAACAGTCTTCAGTTATTTGTAAACCAAAATTAGTAAGATTTTTTTCAATTAATTCAACAGTTTTTGATTGATCCAGATCCTATTTCATAGATATATTTTGGAAATACATGATTCTTTGCTAGTCTTGATAAATTCACTAGAAATACAAATAATCCCCACTGTTTTGTAATATCATTACATGACAGGAATTATTCTCCTTATATGGTGATATGAAGTTATCGGACTGTGTCAGAATACAGCATCTAAAATGGTTGGGTCACCTCCATAAAATGGATGATGGGAGAACGAAAAGAGAGCCAAAACGTTATACCAGGGTTATCCGGAAGGAGTGTGGGCTCGAGAGACCAAGAAATAGATGGAAGGACGTCTCAGAAAACGTCCGAAAGCATAACGCGTCTTTAAGACTAGATGCGGACAACAGGACTGGGCTAGAGCGATTGAGCAGGCCAAGGACTATCTTGTGTGTCTGTTGTGCCTATGAAGATTATTATGTTCAGTCTAATGAGTTATATTTTAAAGGTTTACAGACAAGATAGCAAACAGAATACTTGCACGGCAGGGAGAGAATGGAAGAGATAGCGGACTGAGCTTCCACAAGCTGGAGCAGTGCTACAAAATGTACAGAGATATCTAACAATCAATACCCATTGTCTTGGAACAACATTGCAGACAACTTACATATACCACAGAATTCTGCTGCGGAATGATTAGGAATCCGTATCAAAAGATCAGAGCCCATCATCTGTTGCCACATAACTTCCAAGCAAGTTGACAATTCTGAATCTGGTATCAAAACACTTGAGTTGAATACAGAAGAAAATTTGTGTACAGAGGAGGCAATATTCAGATGGTCGAGTACTCTGTGTTAGCAAAATTCACATATGTAGCTGGTCACCAACGAACATGTAACCATCATAAATTGTTGCAAGCAAGAGTTCAGTATTAACATATGTCTAGCTATGACTTGGAGTGATTGATGGAATTCTTATTTTTAATGATTTTTTTGACAGTCAGAGATGGTGGAATTGACATGATTTAAAAGCTTATTAATTTTAGATTTTTTTGTTTTAGGTAAATCTATTGTTCTTGGGACTTATAAGTTATTTTTCATTTATTCAAATAAATTATGCACAGTTAATATATTATGTCATTCTTATTATCCGCAGGAGGAACAAGCATGTTCATTGGAGCCACCATTTTTAAAATGCTAACACATACCAGAAACATTAAATATTAGTGTTAAGAGTTGAAATTGTTATTTTGAAACAGGGATAATTATTACTACTCTTTATTCCATATTATCAATGTTTCACATTCCTTTAATGATAAAATCTTTCAAAAATTACTTAACTTCACAAAAATCAACATTTAAATAGTAAAAAAATAAATATCTTACCAAAAACTATAAAATTTTAATGATCTTTACTTACACCAAGCTGCATTTCTTTCAATCCTAAAACACCCGGATCGACTTCAACAATTGATGTTAAACATTTCATAGCTTTTGTTCTAATCAAAACAGAAGTTTCAGTTAATACTTTCAGAATCTGCAAAACAGATAAGAAAAAAAATTAATAGAAATACTTAATAAATTAAAAGCATTAAAAAATTTAATTTTATTATGTTATAATAAAAATGCATTCACTTTTACTAGTTTTGTATCCATTAATATATTATACTATAGTTCACTATATACATATATATTTAAAAAAGATCATACATGTTTCAAGTAAACATCAAAACTTTGTGAAAAAGGTCTTTTTGATGCCAAGTAACGAGCTACTAATTCTGCACTGCCATAGTCTATATAAGTTTGTAGAATGTGTGTTTTTGTTCCATCAGTTGATACACGATCTTCAAAAGGACGGATTTTACTCAATAAGAACCGTTTTCGGACCTCGGATTGACGATATGCCTCTACTGGATCTTCATTAACTTTACTTTCATTTACATCCTCTTCCTCTGAAGATAAATCTTCTTCACTTGAATCTGGAACAATAAGAAGTAATATTCTTATTATCTTAATAATAATAAGGACAGATTTTATAATAATAAATAACATGTATATATAATATAATATGATAATAATATATATAGAAATAAAATGTTTTATAAAAAATGCTCTAAGAAATCATTAGTTATGAAAATGCAATTACCTAACTTTCTTCGGCCGGATTTTTTCTTCTTTTTAGAAGGTTTCTTAGATGTAGAGGATGAGATTTGAACACAATTATCCTGATACCACTGTGCAAGGTAAAAATGTCTAGCATGGGAAAGAACCGGTTCTTGTTGACCACGCATAGCTAGATAGTCAAGAAGAACCCTCTGCAAAAATTGGGTCCGTTCTTCATCATTTTCGACAGGTTTAATATCCCCCTAAAAACAAATAATTTAATCAAGTATATAATATATACACAAAACATACGATTTATACTTTTTTCATCTTACTTTAGCATAACCTTCTTCATCTTTCATTTCCTCCATTTGAACTTCTTTTATAATTTGGTCAATTGTGCTAAGTTTTAACTGAGAAACAACTGCATCTTTCCGTAATCTTGCAGCTACGACACCAAGATAATCAAGAGAGGCAACACGAAGTGACATTTCTAAACTTTTATTGACAAAATTATTAACCTAAAACATAAAATTAAAAAAAAAAAAAACTTGCGATAAACAATATAAAAAACGGATAATAAATTCTTAATGAACATTTTTTTCAAAATAAAGCACAATATTGCATGGAATGAAAGAATTGAATTAATTTATTACTAAAACAATTTAATTAATTTTAAGTAACAAAAAAATACTTACCAATAAATTCCCTAGAACACTGAGCATCAGTTCAGCAGCAGGCCATTCTGGTTTATTAACAGTAGTAAGTAAGTCTTGAACAAAATTTTCAAAAAGTGGACGGTAATCGATCTCTTCAGATTTACTACTGCATTTATTTAAAAAGACATACAAAAAATTAGATGCAGTACTTCTAGCTGTTTTAAATTTACTTACAATAATTACATCTGGATCAAACTAGAAAAAAAAGGTGACATAATCTATAATCATAATATAATTAAATGAAAATAAAATTTATATATAATAAAATAATATAATGGTATGGAAATAATTGACTGTAAGGAGTATTATATTGAAGTAGTATTTTATTGCATTTACCAACGTTTGGACCTACGTCGTAGATCTTCATCAGGGCTAAAAGAACAAGATACATACAATAAATATTAATTGGTAAAAAGTAAAAATAAATAAAATATGAATTGATAATAACACATTTACCCAAACCAGTTTATAAAAAAACAAGCAAACAGATTTAGACTCTCTCCTATTTCAAAATTCTAAATCTATAATAATTTCTCAATGTCTATTTCTCGCATCCTTAAAATTACTACCTGATTTCCTCTAATTTCATTTATATGTATATACTTACTTTAATTTCTGTTCATGACAGCCCACATGTAATAATAAATACATTATCTTATTTCATCGACCTTCACTTTTATGACAAAAGACCAGCAATTACTTTTACAACCACTTTAGTCCCTTTATAGGTGTAACTTATATTCTGTACCATTCTATATTATTACTACTTAGTTTGCACTTTCACTTACATATTAAATTATATATATATATATATATATATATATATATTTTTTTTTTTTTATCACATTGATAAATACTAATGATTTACAGCTACTTTAGTTCCTTTTTAGTTGTCACTTATATTCTGTACTATATTATTATATTATCATAACTAAATTTACATTTTAACTTACATACTAAATTATATACATATATATATGTTTTTTTTTTCATCATATTGATAAATACTTTACGTTGATAATGTGTAATCTATATTACTAAAATACGAATAGGGATATTGTTAGTTATGTATGATTTATTTCCCCTAAAATTTTTATTTTATTTTTATTATAAAGTAGAATGAAAATTAACCTGTTAACCGAGCGGGACGTATAAATACATCAAACGTAAACAATATCGGGTACAGGTAGGACATATGAATAAGTCCTTGAAATATATGTTATATCCTGGAATGGACGGGATGTATATTTTCGAACATCAAAGGAAATTAGGCTAAAAGAATGTATAAAAAATTGTTTCTACGATTAATTGATATGTGCTGCTTCAATAGCATATGATATATATATATATACGAAAAAGATGAGGGTCATTTGATTACATTGTTTGATAATGTGAATAGAGAAATTGGTAGAAAAAAACAGTGAAAACTCACTGAAAGACATCAACAAGCAGCCCTACACCTAAACCTTAGTTGAAAGGCATTGTTCAAAACAAATGAAAAGCGATATAGGAAAAAAAAAATCAAGGAAATGCCGAGTTTGCTACAAAAAAGGTGTTAGGAAAGAATCTAAATATTGATTGGTGCCCAGATTGTAAGGTAGCACTATATATCAACAGTTGTTTCAAAATACATTACACGGAAATAGAGTTTTGAATTTTTACATATATATATTTTAATTTTTTTTTTTCTTTGTCGGCCCTAGAACCCCACTGAAGTCCTATACTGCATAATTTTTTTAAACTCAATATTTCTGTTTTATTTGTGTGCTTTTATTTATTGTTCTGTAATTGTTAACTTTTTTATATTTTTTATTGTGTATCTAAATAAAAAATATATATTTTTGTAATCTTTATAATGTTTGTAAAATTTATAATTTTTTAATTTGATGTTTCCATTTTTGTGTAGGTATTCTTTTCTATTTATTTGTAATTTCGTATTTTCCTTTGTGCTTTATATACAAATAAACGAAAAAAATACATATTTCATAGTCTTTTCATTTATTTTAATCATAAATAAAAATAAAAAAATATGAAATTACATCCTCCGGGCGTGATATACTGACAGGTCCTAGTGAAAGAGTTCGTGACCAATATATGCTACGTAATTTAAAAGGGAATTCCCCGGTTAACAGGTTAATACAAATAGGATTGAATTTAAACTCAGGAAATTTTATGAAATTATTTAAAAAAAAAAATAAAATTAAAAGTTTTTGTGATCTTGTTTTTATAATGGCAAATAGTAAGAATTTTCTAAAATTTAATAATAAGTTCAATGTCTTCTGTTACGCCTCTCTGCACCTATTAGGCATACTGTTTACAACGTTGTCACTCATTTAAAAAAGTAATTATACACCATAAATATAGTAATATGGCCCTTAGTAGCTGAAGGTTAAGAACCTGCAGATGGTGGTTAAAAAGCCTACTCTGCAATGCATCCCACATGTGCTCAAAGGGATTGAGACCTGGAAATAATGCGGGGAGGTTCAGATTTTCAAGACATTGATGAACAACTTTTCCCCTATGAAATCACATATTGTTGTCAAGAAAATATCAGTGACAATTATGGCTCTGGTTTGAGGAATTTACTCCTCTATAATTTCTTAAACATTACAAACTGCAATGAGATTACCTCCCACGATATGGAGTAGAGTTTGTCCGTTTGTCCTCCTGAGTAGATACTGGCCCATATCATCATACTCCCATCTGTAGACTGCATTGAAGAAAGCACAAAATGTTCTCGGAAGACGCTTTGGTGGCTACAATTACTATAAATACAGAAACGTATTCCAATTTGTATCCATAATCTGTGGAGTTTCCGGTGAAACACTGTTGCTACAGGTCATTTTAAAAGGGTATAAGATATTAGACCAACTTCTCACAAATGATCACGAATGGTTTAAGTTGATATGGGCCTTGGCAGAACATTGAACATTTCATTTAGGCTCTGTCAGGTACTACGAAAAGGATTGCTTCGTATATTATAACAATATTTCTGTCATCCCTTGGTGTCATAATGTACTGAGATCCACTAACAGGTATCTTATAGGTACTTCGGGTTTCTGGCTAAAGCCCGGGACACCACTATCTGGAAGACACCAACTGTATTGGTGATAGTCACTTGCTGGTGCCCTTAACCGCTCATTCTCACGATAATATAGCAAGCTTTTGATTCAATATGATCTCTTTCCATCGTTAAACAGAATGTTATTGGGTTATACATAAGAAAAGTCGAAAATAAATGTTGGGTTACACAATGAGTATTATTCATGTTGACTATCCTTTAGTTAATAATTTATTAAAAAATAAAGAATACTTGTTTACCAACAAATAGGAGGATCTCTAACAAATAAAAAAAAAGGGTATTTTAATTAAAATGAATCAAATAAAAATATCCCTAAACATTTTGGATAAGTATAGTATAGTCCAGGGATCTCCAAACTAGGGCCCTCAACACATTCTTTGATTACATAGTAAAATTTTAAAATATGAAATTAAGAAAAATACTCATACATGAGGTTACTACAACATGTATTGTATGGATGTTTTCTCTTAGAAAGCTCATTTCACAGCTGAAGTGTCATTTATAGAGTAACATGTTTTTTTTTCATCACAAGCTATGGCCTATATGGGACATAGGTGGAGGTCTCAATGCGGCCCACAGAACTTATTCGAGGTCTCAATGTGGCCCATGAACCAAACATTTTAGAGACCCCTGGTACAGACCATCAAATATTTAAATTGTATTTCTTACTATCCAATAATTCACTTTAACACTTATGATTGGTTAGGAGTTTTTCAATTCTATACCTGGTAACCTGTACTAGTGTAATATCAAATAATATTTTATTTATTTTCACCTTGTACCTATAAATATTTATTGTGTTTATATTGTTTTTTTTAGCCTTGATGAAGACCTACAATAAAATACAAGGTAGGTCGAAACGTTGGCAAGTGCAATAAAATACTACTTTATTACATAATATTACATATTAACCGTATCCCCGACCAACTTCTTATTAGCATAAAATAAAATAATTTATAATTTCAATAATAATATTTAATAAATAAAATAATTACATCACATTCCTGCTTGTTATCTAAGTTGTGAGGGAGGACAACCATACACTGAACTAGCTGCAATACTAAAGCAGTAAGCATTTGTATTTGTTCATCCACATTAAGCCTATAAGAGCGAAGACTGCGTTTACTACTAGGAAGTCGGGCCATTGAAGCAAGAATATCATCTAATAAAAGTTTCCGGTGTTTTTCATATTTTGAAAATATCTGAAAAAATTAGATTAACATAACTTATTATATAGTAATGTATATAATTGTATTATAATAGTAATGTAATTTATAATTGGCACAATGGTTAACATTTTTATATAAAACTAAAAATATGCTATGGGATTTTATGGAACCATGCAGTATAGGGAGATTTTTTTATTTTTCAGAAAACAGTTAAGAGCAATTTACACAGTAATGATATATTATCTTATTTTAAATGTTGACTAGCCATAGTACTTTCCAGTATTCCAGTTTAGAAAAAATATTTAAATTAATTATGTTTTATTATTAAAAATCCTCAATTTAATACATAGTAATTATAAAAAAAAAAAAAAAACCCACAATTTCCACCATAGCTCAAATATATGGGACCTAAAAAAAACTGTGAGATAACTTGTAGTGCTCCTTGGTCCAGAATACTAACTAGAGCTTACGCATAGGCGATAAGGTATTAATTTGGAGTACAGGTACTAAAATAAAAGAGTTAAAGGCTGTCCAGACCATTGGTATTTAACAAATAAAGAACATTAAGCAATGAGAGTATACTGAATGTTGCTTCGTGAACACAGGTCACTCCTTGTTTGATAAACAAGGTGATGCAAAAATGATTAAATTATTCTGCAAGGTGATGCAAAAATGATTAAATTATTCTGCAAGGTGATGCAAAAATGATTAAATTAAATTATTCTGCTTTTTCTAATTTTCATTCTCAAGTACAATTACAAACAAATATAATGTTGATAAAGATTAAAGATTTAAATTAAGATATTTTTTTTATATCCACTGTTATTATTTGTTCTTGGTTTCAATTTTAGCCTTTGCGTGATTGTGTTGATTATCTGGAGTAGAGATGGACTGATTAGTGCAGATAACTAGCATTCAATTGCATAGAAAGTTCCAAAAGTTATAGGATCTCTTTTTCTGTACTTCCAGCATAAAAATAAGACATTTTGCTCCACTACATTTGTCAGAAACATGAATTTTCCTACCAGAAATTCATTTTTCTTTTTCATAGCCAAAAACAAACCTAGTGGAATAAATAGTGGAATTGTTAATATCAAAAATGAAATTAGGATAACTGAAATTTCTTATCGCATAACTATTTCTAATAAATTTAGAGAAGAAAAGCAGGTTAATGTTGGTTTATCATTTGATACTTGTAAAATTTCAGAATAAAAAATATCCTTGGGCCTTCAGTTCTGGGTTTATATATTACAGCCTATAGTCTATTATTTAAGGACTTGTTATTACGAACTTATGCTATTATTATCACTTAAGAAAAACATTGATACTAATCATTTTACTTACTGTAGTAACCAATTTTAATGAAGACAGTTGCAAGTCACTAACGCCTTCAACAAAAAATGGTGAAATTCCCATAGATGAAGCATGTAACACAGCGTTGTCTGTGAGCTTTTGGATATCTAATAATTCTGCTAAAAGAGTCACAACTTCTGTCAACTTTTGATACAATAGTAAAACAGTTTTCTCTCGAACTTCTTTAGACTGCCCTCTTTTTTTTCTCCCAGAACCAAGATAACCATCTGTAATAAATAATTCAAATATTACAATAAATTAAATAATTAGAAAAGAATTCTTATTACCCAATTTTGATAAAATATTAGTACCCAACAATTTAAAATATGAATGTTCAAGTATATCACACAGTTTAACAAATTACTTTATAAATAAGATACATACATGTTTTATTTACCTGTTTATAGATTGATACTGAAAAATATTTAGTTTAGACGGATTATAGTTATTGCAGATACAATAAAAATTAAAAAAAAAAACAGGAAACGATTAATAAAAAGAGAAGAATGTGAACCAGCTGAGACAATGAGTCAATATCTTATGATTTTTTCGAGAAAGATTCTCGTTCAAATATTGGACCCATACTTATCAACAGAAAATGGAGAAGAAATACCCAGATAGTTTAACCTATATAGTGTGCCCACAATAAAGCAAGCCAGTTAAAATGAGTTGATGAATGAGTAACAAATCTAAAAGAAGGGTCAGCAGCCCAAAACTTTACTGGATTGACAACGTAGTTATGGAATAACCAACAAAAAGCAGTTGGGGATTGCTAAACCCATTTATATACTTGAGGATTTGTCCTGAATGAGCATAGAGGCCAAGTGGAGAGGGGCGCACAATCACGTTTCGAACGAGGAATGAGCCACATTGGTTAGTGCTCATACAGACTAAACAGGGAACTCAGTACATAACCGTTCCAGTGCTGTTTTTTGTTTTTAATTCTTGCTTTCTCTACGGTAAGAGCTCTTTTAAGGCTTTAAATTTTGCTCCAAGCATCTTCTTTCTTTAAATTATAATAATAAAATCCATCCTAGGGGTTCTACAAATAATATTAGTAGTACTCTAGAAAAGGGTAATAGAATTATCCTGAGAAAATTCCATTTGAACTAAATAGTAAAAAAAATAAATGAATAGTAATCGCAACACAAAATTGAGACAGGGATGCAGTAGTGGACCCACGATTAAATTTTGGAAGGATTTTTTTGCTCTTTATGCATCTGACTCAGAAAGAAGAAGTGAAAAATCTACCTATATGAAATGGTGTTTAAATGGTCCTTGAAGGAAAAAATAAAATAAGATGCTTTTACAGATAAATGCTTACATTTTGTAGCTGTATATAGATTATAATTTAAAAAGAAAATATATTGTGATTTTTTAAGTATTTAGCTTAGCTCACTAACATAAAAAAATATGGACCAATAAAAATAAATTATTTTCCAAAGGATCCAAATTTCATTCCTGCTATGATAAATAATAATAAGGTTGTAGAATGATGGCAACAAAAAATTGATTCTGATGGAAATTATTTGTACTAAATATATATTGTTGAATTAAAGACATGGCATATTTGCAATGAACTTAAAAAAACAGAATAATTTTTGCATCAATCCAATTTTCACATAATTATAAATAGAATCAATTTTATGTATTGCTTTTATTAAATTAAAGACGGTGTCACACGATGTTCATTCATAAAGGATTTGAACCAACGCAGGACACTGTTGGATAGAGGAAGATTTTGCAATTTGGTAAGAAGTATGTTATGGCCAACTGTGTCATATCAAACACTTTGGAAAAATCTAGAAGGATGAGGATAGTAAGGTTTTGGTGTTCAATGGAGTTTTGGAGGTCATGGGTTATTTCAAGGAGGGCAGATTGCATTGAATAGCCGGGTCAGAAGCCAGATTGGAATGGATTGATGAGGGAACGTTCTTCTAGGAAGTTGGAAAGTTGATTTTGGACAAGGCGTTCCAGTGATTTTGAGAGGTTGGAAAGAAGAGAAATAGGACAGAAGTCATTCTGTGAGGAAGGGTTAGATGTTTTATTCAAAGGTCGGACTAGTGCAGTTTTCCAGTAAGTGGGAAATATGGAATTTTGCAAAGAAAAGTTATAGATATGATAAGGTACTGGAATAAGGGTAGGAAGGCTGGAATTTAATAGTTTTACTGGAATATTGTCAGGACCATAATCATTGGTGTGGGATTTGAGGAGAGTCGTCGTAGGACACATGGGAAAAAAAAGAAGTTTTCAGGATTGAAATTGTGCTGTTCAATATCATGAGTAGGAGAATGATTAGAAGCAAAGGATAAGAAATGGTCATTAAGATCATCTGAAGTCACAGGGAGGGAAATGAGGTTATTGGAATGTGGTAGGGATAGATTACGAAGTATTTTCCATTTTGATTTGGAATCGGGAGCATTGGAAAGGACATTATGGAAGTAGTTGGATTTAGCAAGTCGGATTGTGGATTGGGTTGCATTGCGAAGTTGTTTGAAAGACGCAAATCAGCAGGTAAGCGAGTTTGACGGTATTTACGCCTTGCTGCATTCCTTCTTTTTATCATTCCCTTTATTTCAGGAGTCAGCCAAGGAGCAGTGGGACGACATACAATTCTGGTTTTCAGAGGAGATTGGATGTCTAATATAGATTGTAGGTTTGAGGTAAGGGTGGATATCATAGGGTCAATGGAGGTATAGGAAAATATGGTAGACCATTGGACAGAATCAAGGTCAGGTTGAAGGGATTCATATGAAAGGAGGTTTAAATTGCGATATGACACTATTTTTGGAGTAAATGATTTCACGGGTAGGTCGTATGAAATTTGGATCAGGTCGTGTGATGATAGAAAGGGTACAGGGTGTTGAGAGGAGGAAAGGATTTTAAGGGGTGAGTCAGAGATATGGAGGTCTAACCAGGTGTCAGAGAACTGAGTGTGATGAGTGGAAGAATAAGGGATAAGATAAAGATTGAGAGAAAATATTAGGTCATTGAGGTAGTATTTTTCGGGAGATTCTGAGAGCATATTTACATTAAAATCGCTAGAGATGATGATATTGGAGTAGGAGGAAACAAGGTTGACAAGGGAAGATTCAAAGAGTTGGTCAAATATAACACGAGGAGGGCGGTAGACAACATACAATAAAGGAGAGGAAATAGAGATAATTTCAACAAATAAATATTCAACGTGAGGGAGGTCATGAAAAGGAGACTGTAAGAGGATTTTGGCCTTGAGACTATTGTGTACATATAGTCCGACACCAGCCCCCTCCCTCTCTCTCCCCGTGCGTAGGAAAGAGTAATTGAGGAGGGATATTTGGGAGGAAGTAATAAAAGGTTTCAGATACTGCTATTGTGTGGTAAAAATTATCATTTTTGGAATTCATCAAAGTGGGTATTAAGGGATTGAGCATTGACGTGACAGGAGTTTGGGATCCCAATATTAGTCATAATTGAGATGTTGGGAAGTAGAATTGCAGGTAAAAGGATCAAGGATGGAGAATAGGATATTACAATTTTTTAACAAAAATTTTATATTTGACATAGCAGCAAAAAAAATATAAGCATGTAATAATTGTTGAAAAGATAAAATAAAAATTATGTTAATCAATATATGTCATTCATCGTTTAATTCTTTAAAACCATTTCTAATCAAGCCATCAAATGTATTTATTATTTGATATTTTAGGTATTTAAAATCAAAATAGTCGAAACTGATGTTCATATCTAAATATCATATAATCTTGTCTTGGGTATATTTAGTTGTAAATTGAATAATATAATAAATATTATAAGATTGTAAATTTAATAACTCTATGTATTAATTTTTTGTCTACTTGAATATATAAAACACTATTTACCAAGTTTTATTATTGAGTTTTGGTCCAGCATTTTAATTTGTTCTGCAATCTACTTTCTTTTTTTTTAAATACATCAACTTAGTTCAACGGATAATCTTCCTACCATTCTTGTAATCATGTGTTATTGTTCTTTATCAGCTCCAATAAATTTGAATTTTTTAAATTATTCTTTCCACATAATTTTGTTCCTGTTTATGTTTATTTCTAATCAGTACAAAAGCTAATACATCAAAACTAATTATATCCTTATTTAATGTTGTCTAATTTTAATTTTATTATTATTTGATTTATTTTAACTTCAATTTTATTTTACGCCAAGGTTATATAGTTCATAAGTATAACTCAAGGAAGATAATTTATCTAATTGTCTGTTGAAATAAATTATAATTATTCTAAAAAAATTTTCTGACTAACTAATCTATGACTTCTAGGTTTGTAATATTTATTATTTTACGCATCTTTAAAAATTCTATTTGCCTACTCAAGCCTAGAATTTATTCATACTTTTCTAAAGGGATTTTCATCTACTTATATACCTTATATTTATTGGGAATACTTATTTTGTGTTTATTGTATCTTCTTTCTGCATTAATGAATTCAACATATTGGTATTCAGTGGAAAAAAGAAAAAAAAAAACCTATAATTCACTTGTTAATTTCAATAAAATTCTGTATTTATTTAATAAAATTTTACTAAATGAACTTTACATTATTTAAAATTAAACAGTATTAATTATAATAAAATTAAAATACAGTTGACTTTATTAAGCATTTTATGCCATGAGAAACGATCAATGAAATTAAATAATAAAAAAGTAATTAAAAATTATAAATTTTAATGTCCATTACAGCTTTTCACAGTACAACCAAAGAAAACATAGCTATACTCGGCGGTTATTGATTCCAAGAATTCCTATGATGTCCAGAAAGAGCATGTCCCACACCTGATGGGACTTTCTGTGAGTGTGAATGTTCGTCATTGGGCCATGATGTGAACTACATGCCATGAACATTTAGAGCATCGTGTGGCCGGAAAATGCATCTTGTAACCGGGCCTATGCATGAACATCTGTCACTTCAAATTCGCAACTCGCCATTCCCAACTGTCACACGATGGTTTAAGTGCCCTGCAGCGTGAACGTTCAAACACTTAGTGCATTGTGTGACTCCAGCTTAAGAGTAAAAGACCTCGAGTCTTTTCCAGTAATGTAACCAATCCAAGTAAAATTGTGGGTTAGTTTGGAGTGGAAACAAATTAGATAAAACAAACAAACCTACTTATTACTATAACAGGTCTCCTACATACTTCTTGCCGAGTTTTACTCAGTTCTCATCTTATTGTCAAGTAAGAACACTGAAATAGCTCTTTACAAAAACTGTAAGATGACTCATGGAAAATATTATAGGTGATAATCGAATTGCATGAGAGGGAAAGTAAATCAGGTAACTCTTTAATATATATGAATCTATAGTGCTATTTTTTTCTCTATTTGCTTATACAGATGATTTGGTGGTTTTTGGAAGCAATGGGCAAACCTTCAATTCAACCTTTGCATCCTTCAAAAAGAATTACATAAAATAAACATACCAATAAATGTGGAAAAAACTAAAACTATGAGAATTGGCAGAAAAGAAGATAGAAGTGACTGAATAGTTCACTTGAATGGAGTACCATTGGAAAAAGTGAAGGATTTTAAATACCTCGGCAACCACATAAAGGAGCATGGATGAATTGATGGAGAACCAAAAGAAAGAGTGAAGCCTGCAGGAAAGTGCTTCAACGCCATCAAGAAAGGATTTCTGAATAAGCGAGAGATGAACAAGGAGACCAAAACTACTGTCAATAAAAACACTTTCCTACTCCAGTAAGTCATGGACATTAACCACCAAACACAAAAGACAGATCCAGGCCATGGAGATGTGATTCCTGTGCAGGATTGAAAGAAAAATGAGAGAGATCGCATTAAAAACTCCACAATTAGAAAACACCTGAACATGAGACCAGCCGAGACAGTAATTGAAGAAAATCGTTTGAGGTGGTTCGGTCATGGTCGAAAAATGAAAAAATTGTCTTGCCTTTTAGACTACAAGGAATTTTTCTTGGGTTGGGGGAATTATGCAGAGTTAATAGTTCACTAAAAACGAATCTTAATTGCTTTTTTATAAAAAAAAATTTACTTGGCCTACTTTACTGGAAGTGCCTTTTGGTTTTTGTAATTTATGATACATTATAACTCATTTAATACAATAGTCAATATTTATTTCTTATTCTGCACAAAAAAAAATTGATTGATATATAACATAAATATAATCTGCCTCTTTACAAAACTCTGGGGCACACCCAGCCTCTATAAAGTGGGTACCCTTGATTAAAATAATTAATTAAGAGGAAAAACCTGGCAGTTGAGTGTGATCTCAGTCAAATCACCTCCTTGCAGTACCGTAGACCAAGAAACAGTGCTTCCCCTAAATAGTACTGAACCCATGACCTTTCATTGGTTGTAGTGGTACAGGTTTTTTTTTTTTTTTTTTAAATCTGACATGCTCCCTCTTTATTCACCTTTAAAAGTCTTCTATTTCAATTCCTATTCCCACAACAGTTAGAAAACAGCTAACCACATATTAAGTAATATTATAAATAATTTATTTATAAATAAGTATAAAAATGATATTTTTAGCATAAAAAAGATTTTTTTTTTTTCTTATGTATACACCATTTTTCTCTTGAATAAACCGTTATATAGATACATTTATATATATTTTTTTTTCTGTTGGCATTACAGACCTTGTAATCTTTTGCCGCCTTAACAAGCCTGCTCCATTTCTGCCAGTCTTGCGTTATTTGTTTCTAGTTATCTGCACGCAGCTCTATTCCATCTTTGTTGATTCTATCTTCCCTCCCATCTGATTTTTGGCTTTCCACGTGGTTTTTTGCCTTCTATGCATTTTTTCATTTATTGTTACGTAGAGGCTTATAGATGGATTGCTACAAGCTATATGCCCTGCCCATCTTAACCTCCGTGCCTTCATATCATGGCGTATTGATTGACCAGTTCCTGTAAGCAGTTCTTTATTGGTCTTTCTTCTCCATGTGTTAGTACTCTAGTCTCAGATCGCTCAGGTTATCGAGCGGAAGATTTTTCTCTCAAATCTTCAATAATTTTTCCTAGGGTGCTTGGTTATTGTCAGTCCATATAATAGAACTGGCTTTATCATAGCATTGTACACCCTTAATTTGAGATTTCTTGAAAATTTTCGGGATTTTAATTTTAATGCCTTTAAAAGGGATAAGAAAGCTCTATTCGTGCTAGTTATTCACTGATCTATTTCTGACAGTTCATCATTCACTGAGGTTATTGTGGAGCCAAGGTATTTGAATTTTTCTACTCTTGAGAATGATTTCTCTTCTATGCAGATCCTGTTATTCGGGTGGAATTCCCAGCTTATTATCATATATTTTGTTTTGTCTTCATTTACTTGTAGGCCGATTTGCTTTGCCTCTCTTATCAGGGTATTAGCGAGTTTCTCAATGTCCTCTTGATTACTTCCAAGGACAGCTATATCATCTGTATATCCAAGGATTCCATGATCAATTCCCAGATGGACCCCTCCATTTTCCTATTATGTTATTCTTATTACCTTCTCCAGAGCTAAGTTAAACAACACCAGTGATAGTCCATCTCCCTGCAGAAAGCCCATTCGAACTTTGAAGGCTTCATATACTTCTCCTTGTATTAGGACTCAACATTTAGGGTCATTTGTACACGCCCTAGTCAATCTCACCAATTTACCAGGAGTTCCCAGCCCAGTCATGATTTTTCAAATAAATATGTATAGATGTGGGTATATAACAGTTGTAATTTTCTTCTATTTATTGGAGAATTGGTACTCATTTATTATAAGAATCTATTTGGTATTTACTGTTCTTTCCTATCTTTTTTATTTCTTTGTCTTTTTAGCAAATCAGTGATTATTTTGTTTTATTTCTTATTACTTTCACTTACCTATATATGTAATATATAGTAAGGGTAAGTAGCCGAAGAACTTAAACGATACTTCTTACGGCTTTCAAAATAGTTTTCTAGATAGAATGTCTCATTTGTAATACACGTGAACCCGAAGATTTATACCATTTTCTGTTGCATTGCCCTACATATGTAGCTTTCAGATATATTGTATACATATTTAAATGAATATATTGATGGTAATTGTGAAAATATAGATCAAATAGTACAATTATTAGATATAGAAAACCAATATAAATTCAATAATTTACACTGGTATGTAGAAGGTTGTTTAAAATTAACAAACCTCTTTTTGTTTGTTCAAGAATAAATAGTGTCATATATTCTTAATGTTAATTAAGTTTAAGGTTATTTGTAAATATAATATTAGGACTAAGCATTATATATATTTTAATTTTCTAAAGAAAGATAATTTTGTTTTGTTTTGATAGTGTTGTGTGTTTCTGATAACTTACCTTTATCTTTAGACTGGACCCGATAAACTGGATCGAACACAGGGAAAACAGTATTGTGAAGTTGATACTTCGTAAATATTATAATTCGATCAATAACATCTTCTAAATACACTTGTTTATGCATGTTTGGTGAAGTTAAAATGTATAAAGCTGTTAAAGATGCATCAACAGCTCTCATAACTCTTTCCATTGCCAATTCAACAAACAATTTTCTTTCATCTTCTCCATCATTCTATTTCAAGTAAAAATACAAAAATATAAATAAATATGATTATGATAATTATTTTTTAAACATTCATAATACAACTTTAAATGAGCAAAAACAAAATAATTCTTCAGCATTATTAACCAAATGATGTGCTATATAGGCATGTGTTAAAAACATGAGTGATTTATCATTTAAAAACATGAGAATAAAAATTATTTTTTTGAATAATGAAATATATGGATAAGTGACTTTACGAACAGAAGACATTATGAAAGTTTGATGCTATACATAATATGCAACTTCTGTTGACAAAAATCTAATAAAATAATTATTTTAAGAATTTAAAAAATAATAATAGAAGAAAATGAAAGTAATTGACAAAAAATAGTAAAAAATGAAAAGTAATTGGCATAAAATATTAAAAATAATTGACACAAAATATTAAAAAATGAAAAGTAATTGACATAAAATATTAAAAAATGAAAAATAATCGACACAAAATAGTAAAAAATGAAAATTAATTGACACAAAATATACAGATATATATTAACACCAATCTGTAAAAGAAATTTGGAGTGAAAAAAGCATTTTTAGTTCTAAGCACTCATAAAATATCGATATGAAGTTGTGAAGCCTTTATTTGGTAATTACAAATACATTTTCTTATTTTTTTCTAGAGCAAACATCCCAAACTTACTGGATCAGAAATTGGTGTTACTTTACTTCCATCACGAATATTTCGTTCTAAAATAGTTAATAATCTGGTAGTTTTATCAGTGGGAATTGACTCCATCGCACCCAAGGTTTTCAATTTGGCTGCTTCAGCACAAAGATCTTGGAGATGATACTTCGGAATAAGTGAATCACAACATTCCTCATCTTCATCTGTAAATGAAAAAAACATATTTATCAATGAATGAAAAGCAAAATTTTGTCTGAATTACAAATATTAATTATTACTATTATTTAGATATGATGGAATGAGAAACAGTAAATGTGGGATTTGGGAAGTTATATTTCATACAAGCAATGGGAATATGTCTTTAGAAAAACTAATCGTATTGAGAAAGGTGTGAAATGCGTGAAGTATTTATTATATTGAACCATGTAGTGAAAAGTGTGTGCTTGAGAATGATGAGTTAATAATGTTAAGTAAAGATGAAGAAACTTTTGAAATAAATAAAAACTTGAATAAAATCAAAAAAAGGATCAAGTTTTAATATAACAATGATTTTTTTTTTTATTTCTTAATGACATTTACAACTGTATTAAATAAATACATCTAGTAAATTTGGACATAATGGATATAATGACATGAAAACACTTGCTGAGTAACTACCCAATGGTAGCACTCTAATGATATGACTACATTAGGAGATCACGGGGCCATCTTCTTTTCAGACGCCTCGGAGGGTTATCAGGAATTGAAGAGGAAGCAAGGTTAGAAACGAGAGGGTCGGAATGATTCTGAAGTTTATTATGGAAGGATAGGTATCTGGATTGGGCCAGATCTGAAACATAAGGAACATTAAGGTCTTTATGGATGATTTTATTAGTGACAAAGTAAGGAGCATTGAGGATTTTACGAAGGATTTTGGATTGTAAGGATTGGATGCTAGAGGAATTCGATGGTTTAGTGGAGCCCCATAGCTCAACTCTGTAAGTCCAAATAGGCCTTATTATAGTCAAGTATATGAGTCTTTTGTAATTAATGGGAAGTTTAGAGCGTTTGTCTAGTAAGTGCTGAAGTAATCGGAAACGTCGAGCGGTTTCTTGTCGTTTCAGTCTAGTATAGAGGATTCCAAGTTAGTCGTTTGTCCAGGTGGAGTCCTAGGTATCGGATTTTCTCAACAGGGATAAGTGGAGTATTGTTAAAGGAAACTGTAGGACAGGAAGTCATTGGTTTACGACGAAGGGTAAAGGTAATTTGATGGGATTTATTGGAGTTTATTTTAATTCTCCAGTTTTGACACCATTCTTCAAGATTTATGATGTGTGATTGAAGCATTTGGGATGCAATTGATGGGTCATTATTTACTGATAGGATACATGTGTCATCGGCATAAGTGGTGATGACAGTGTTGGGATAGGTAGGGATGTCAGCTGTATAAACTATATAGAGGATAGGATCTAGGATACTACCTTGAGGAACACCAGTGGACTGGGAAAAAAGGGATGAATAGGCGTTTCTGTGATTTACTTTAAAGTATCTATCAGTAAGGTAGGAACGGATAATGAGGAAGTATGTAGGTGGTAGGAATTTTCGGAGTTTGTACAGCAGTCCCGGGTGCCAAACTCTATCAAACGCCTATAAACAATGATAAAACAAAATATATAGTTGGTAGCAGAAATGGTGTTGATTATGATGAAATACAATAACAGTAACTGAGGATCAACAATAATTAAATAAGAAAACAATCTTATGTTCCTTATGGATATGAAACAAGGTCACTGTCACTAAGACAAGACAATATCTCAATGTTTTCTGAAAATAAAATAGAAAATACTGACCAAAGAAGTATCAGTCAACCAGAGAATTTAGAAGACCAAACAATACCTAATTGCATGAGCTGCACCCAGTAAATATATTTGAGCTAATAACATTGCATCAAATAAAATGAGTCTGTAACATTGTCAGGATCGATAACCAATGAATCACTAGGAGTACGATCAGTATTAATACAACAGGAAGTGTCTTCAACCAAACCATGAATGTGATAATGTTCGAGTCCGACTTTGAGAATTTAGGGTTTAAATGAAATTCTCTGGAAAAAGGTTTGTAGGCAAAGACTGCTGGTGTTGTCAGCATCACATCTATAGGTTTCTAAGCCTTTTATATATTTTAACCTATTCCTTGAAAATTAAATAAGAATAACATAGGAAGAAAACAGAAAGTGTATTGGGCATGATTGTTAGAAACAGGTCATATGGTCAAAAGACATGTAGATCAATTGATACAAGTTCATACTAGAGGTGACAAAGTCACAATTCTGAACTGTAGACGATTCAACAGTTCTTAAAAGTGAATTACATAAAAAAGAGAAACATGGTGAGACTTTGATAAGTATAACAAATATTGGCTAGTAAATTTACTTAAGGCAAAAACAAAATGGTGAACAAAAAAATACATCTTATCAGCAAGATTAGAATAATATTGAGTGTGTGAACAAGTTTCTGCAGTTTGTTATCTAGAGAATTTTTATTTACCTGTACATCCGTTAACAACTTAAGTGCATCTGGCAACACTGCAACCAACTTTATTAAGAGCTAATTCTCTGTTCTTGGGTTATCAGTGTATTTAAAACTCCTCAAAGTGTATACAATGTTTTTCATTAGGGATCGACCAATACTGATATTAATAGTGGCATTTCGGCCATATCGGCATTACGACCTTATTTTATCAAAATTATTAGTTTTTTTTTGGTCCTCCTTTCTCCCAAAGAGCAGATGCTGATATTCCAAAAGACCGATATATGGCCTTGTGAACTTATTTTATCGAGATTGGTAGTTTCTCTTGGAATATTGTTCTTATTGCTAATAAACGTGCCAATCAATTGTTAATGTATCGACATAAACATAAATTTTAGCAATAAGTGAGATATTCTTGTGAAACTGTACTAATTATGCAAACAAAACTAATTATGCGGGAAAAAAATTAAATTAGTTTTAAATATCCTTAGGTGAAAGTGGAGGGAAGAAAAAATATCCAAGTAGGAGGTAGATAGGACTACTCTCAAGGTTACCCCTAGGTATAAGCTGATGTCAAGCAGTCCATGGTGGGGAGGATCAATATGCATATCGATCTTGATCGATGACTGCTGATGTCTATCCAGCTGTGTTGAACAAAATGGCGCTAGGCTGCCTCAAGATGAGCCGGAACAACTGGTGGGGTGGGGGTACTATCGCCAACATAGACCTTATTTCTACGAATACTTGCTCCTGACTGGGCTCCGGCAATCTTATGGTAATATTTTGGTGTCTTAATCCTTAAGACTCAGTATTACTGCCGGGCTGGTGTGTATACACAAATGCAATAATACATCGCGAATAATGCCTAATATTTAAATTATATACAATTGAATACACTTCGCAAATAATTATCCCTGGCTTTTACAAACAAAAATAAATAAACATTTATTTAATTAGATTTCAAAAGAGTGAGTTGGTGAGAAAAAATAATAATAAAAAAATAAAGATACAATAATATGCAGCGTTAACAGATGGAAAGAAAAAAACAATGACGATATATCTCGGCATATTGGCCTTCAAAAATTTCGATATTGGTCGACCCCTATTTTTCATATATCTTCAAACATTGGCAAACTTTGTACCCTCAAAACTGTTTTTGCGAGGAATTTTATCACACTATTTTTTCCAAAAGAAAACTGCAGCTGAAGGCATAGAATTCTTGTTGAAAATTACAGCAATTATGCTCTATCAGAAAGAACATACAGAGACTGAATTGCCTCAAATGATATATATTTTTTTTTAATGTGGAAACGGTATGTTAATTGAAAGATGGGAGAAAGTAGTGGCTAGCAATGGACAATGCTTTGAATGACCTGTGTCTGACCATTTTTTATAAATAAAGTTTTCATTTTTATCAAAAAACTGCAGGAACTTATCACACACACTTCATTTAAGATAGCTTCCAAAAATAAATAGATTTAAATACTCTAGGCTCTGTAACCTAGAAAGATAAATTAGCACAAAAAAGCCTAGTTATCCTTTTCTCTCAAAAGTATAGTTATCCTTTTCTCTCAAAACTAACTCAATATATTTTTAACAAAGCCTAATATTTTCCTATAGGATGGTCTCAGTGTGTCTATGATGAGAATCTTGACAGTCTAATATCTGATTTAAAAATTAAATTTTCTTGCAGCTAAAGATGATATAAATGTAGCACAATAAATGAATTGAATAAACCTCACTATTTTGCTTGTAATATTTATCAATTTTTATTGTATAATTTATGAATTTTATAAAATGCAAGATTAAATGATGGATGCATTTAGTCCTCTGCTTCCACAAAGTAGATCTAAAGTCATGACAATTGCCTATTCTCGACCGAAGATATAGCAAGAACAGACTGATTATGGAGATATAAAGATCTTAAAATGTCTTTCAGGAAGAGGAAAAAAAAAGAAAGATAAATTTCTATATTATATAATATATTAGACCTTACCACTTTCATTTATCATGACATCTTCCACATCTTCAAATATTTTTTCTAAAGACCGGTTGAACCTTTGGTATGTATTGGTTTCCATCAGTTCTTCAACACTCAGTTTTTCTAGAACAGGTACTAACTTTCTTTCCATTTTTCTGAGTTTTGCTTTAGGAGCACTCTCTAAAAGTATAATTAAATTATAGTAGATATATAACAAGATAAGTATACAACTAATTGAAAAGTTTAAAGAAAGATACATAACTAATTTAGTATAATAATCAAATCACCAAAAATAAAATTTCCTATTGTTTTCCATAAATTATTTTTTAGTTTTCTTTTAAATCTAGCAAACTATTTTATTTGTTTGGATATAAATAAAATTTAATAAGAAATTACGTCAATAAATGTGAAAGTGTTGTTTATTTCAAGAAGCATTGAAATATTCCTAAAATAATAAACATGAATTAAAACTTTAAGAACATTAGCACATTACCTTACTGTGTAGTTAACCTACTTCTATACATCATATTTTATCTAATAGATAATTAAGAGTGATGACAATTATATATATTTTTTTAATCTGGGATAGTCAGTTTATAAACTAAAAAAAGAGAAAGAGAGAGGTCCTCTATGTAAGTAAATGGGACAAAAATATAGAGACATTAAAATTATGGGTAATAATAACAGTGATATTAATGCAGAAATACTAATAAGCTGATGAAAATGATATAAAAATGAAATAGATGAAAATGAATAATGATAACGATGGAACAAAGAAAGAAAAAAACAAATAAAAAAGATCAAAGATCAATATCATCTAAACAAATTAACATGTTAGCTGTGGTTATGGTCCCTGGGTTCCGATATTCGTATCAACTGCCTAAAAGTCAGTCATTAAAATATCTGAATGGAAGTTGGTTAGATGTAAAGATACAAACATAAATAATCATTACATCTGATATAAAGCTGTAGGGACTGATATTGTACCAGACTGATATAAAATGATTTCCCTAAGGTATAATCCCCCAGTAGATGATACATATTCCTGCTGTGATAAGACAATGCACATGTGTGGTGATTGAGATAATGTTTGGAACGTCGTTGGTCAATTCTTGGATCATCTTTAAATTGTAAAAAGAAAAACCCATATTAATTACAAAGTTCCAATCGGTTCTCGCTGATGAACTCCCAACTCAGTGCCACCATCACCACGTCTGTTTCGTAGTGTCCATTCTTTTGTTAAGCCCTCAGATGAAACAGCGAAAGCAGTGCAGAGAATGCTATAGAGAACTGAGAAAGACCATAGGGAAGGGATGTAAGGAGGCAAATAATAAACACGGAAAGTCACTAGTTTTTGTGAGGACTGTGATGGTATGCACGGATTCTGTTTGCCACACTTCAACCAGTATCACAAGCCGTTAACAACTTAATACTTCATTTTCATTTTTCCTTTTCTTAAAATAAATTCTAATGTAACCTAAATACCCACATTTTTCTTTCATTGCCACAATATGGTACTTTAACACTTTTTAACTGAAATAAAGAGAAATAATAAAAAACGGCGTCGGGGTCCACTCCTATAGTTGCTGACCATTAATGAGGACACAATCAACAGATAGACACTGAATAAGGAATTTAGTTCACCTTTGTTGTCAAAAAATAGTGGTATACCTCGATACTGATGTATGCATCAAATGTTCGATGCTGTTAGGAACTTCATAACTAGAGTCAGTTGCCGGGGAGCGATATTGTCGGGAAAGCCATTTAAGACATATCATACTCAGCAGGTAACATGTTAAGGAATAAACAAGAAATAATAATAAAATAAAACATTAAAATTGCTAACTAAGGAATTCACAACCAATTAAGTATATAGATAAAAAAGTACTAAAATTCAACCAATTAATTAGACGAAAATAACATAAACTAGAGCAATATGAATAAGTTATGTCATAGGAATCATGGAGCAACTGATAATATAAATTATAATAAAGTAATAGAGGCCATCTCATTACCTCAATTTGTTTTATTGCTTTCTCACAACCAAATATAGGGCTGCTTTCAATTCGTGAGAGGTTAAAAAAAAATTTTCTTTCAGAAATTTTCAGAGATGTTGCTGGTTGGTCCCATATCAATTCCATCCAATACTTTAACTTAGGCACACGATCAAGTAGGTATAAATTTCATCAAATCCTATCCAAAACTTTCAATAAATACTTCTACTTTCTGATCTATAAATGTATTGTTTATGAAATGCGTATAGTTTGAAAAAGGTTCATTCGATTTGACCCAAAGTTGGAGATAATTTGGAGAATAGTGTACAAATTTCCTATTATCAATTTCATTTAACAATTAAAATTAATATAAATAACTGCTAAGAATTTAATGGCTGTGAAATGCGGTAAGCAGTGAACATGTGGAACGGGAGGTTACATTTATATTCTATTACAGTTTTAAGAGGTTATAAGATTTTAGACTGTTTTCAAAAAATTAATTTAAACTTTAAAACTTATCTATTTTCACAAAGAGCTACTTCAAACACTTTTAATTAATTTATTAAATTTTCATTCACAAAAACATCCGACAATGTTTCAGGCTCTTTTGCCCATTTTCAATTCCAAAATACAATTCTTATGGTCGTCACTTAAATTTTAATTCAATAAAATATAATTCATTTTCATGAATCTACATTATTGGTTCTATATATTCCCATAAGATTATTATTTTCATTTAGGTTTATATATCTTATTATTTATTCATTTTTCTTATATAATTGATCCTCCATCTTCCATAATCCATCTAGCTATAACAAACCAGTGTCCACATGGTTTGTTATAGAACACAGATTTTTTTTTTTTTAAACCTATGAATGTTATTATTTTGAATTACATTATCTACTAGTATCTACATAATTTACAAATATATATATATATATTTATAAATTTAAATTATTTTTTCAGAGATTACAAAAAATTACATTTTAACCAAGTCCCACAAACTGGTCTTTGCATGTATGTGTATGCGAACAGTCTAGCTCAAAAACCAGAAGTCGCAACAAACTGAAATAATGTATTAAATATTATAAATTTAAGATAGTTATATGCCTAGGATATTGCAGCAACTTTTTCCTGAAAATCGGCTAGCCATAAGTGGCACTTGATAGATCAATTTTACACATTTTTCTCAAAAATGGCTTTAACGATTTTGATTTATCTCATTATAACAATATAAAGTTAAGTAGTTTTTAATATAATGTAGGTCTTATTTCCATTAATGTTCTTTAACAGGGCTTAAATGCTTAATTTTCAAAATTCCTTTCTCTAAAGTACCTTAAAATTTTTTATATGTCATTATTTGAAATAATTAACCACCTCATATTGTAACTTGTTAAAAAAAAATGTTATAATAACAATAATAATAAAATGCCTAGCGAACCCGAAGGTTCGATGTAGACTATGCAGACACCACCAATCGCTTATTACAAACATCCCTCTATCGTTTGCCGTCCACACCCAGTCCCTTCGGATCGACTTTAATGCAATCTTCCCACCTTCGCTTCAGTCTACTCCTCGGACATTTACCATTTGGTACAACAAATATTAACATTTTAGGAATTCTTTCTTTACTAAGCCCAACAATTTAACAAGCCCATTTCATTTGCCGTGATGTAATCACCTCAATTATATTAACCGGGTACAGTTCATGCAATTCGGCATTGTGTAACATTCTGAACTCTCCGGTTAACTCATCCTTCTTCGGCCCGAATATTCTATCTAATACTTAGTTTTCAAAAACCCTAAGACGTGGCTCATCCCTTAATGTAAGATTAAAGTCAATATTTTATAACATACCGGAAGGAGTGAAATTCTTCAATAGTTATTACAATCCATCCATGGACCCTTTTTGTGAATCGCAATAAGAATGGATTATTTCCATTCTTCAAGCAATATCCCTGATATGATATAAGTAATTAACTGAGCCATAACAGAAAATGAGGAACTATCAGGAGAAAACTGAGTAATAGAAAACAAATGTTTCCTGAATTTAACAATCATTAGTGCTGTACATCAGTAAGTATGTTTACCACTTATTATTTATCTCTTAATATTCCATTAATTTCTTTGTTATTTCATTTTTCATTTCTTCTTAATTTGATCATGTTGCTACTGTTATTTTATTGTTGTTTATTTCATACATTCCAAACTCTGTTACCATTATTTTATACATCAACAGTTAATCAAATTTAATTTTGTATTTCATGTTTCATTGCTTTGTTAATTTCATTATTGTCTACTTCACCACTTTATTTTATAACTTCAAGTTTTTCTCAGCTTTGTTACCATTACTTTATACTTCCTTTATTTATATATAATATATTTGCCATCCCACATATTTATTAGTGTTAAGTTTACACTACCTACATGTTATTAGACTATACCTTTTACCCTCATATTATTACTATTACTGTCTACTAGTTGTATTTATGTTATTTTGTCTTTTCATAGTCCTGACAAAGAAGCATCGGCATGAAAATACAAGGAAATAAAAATAATTTATTAATTTATACTTTGTTCTTTCTTTGACTGAACACCCCTACCAATTTATTTTCAATTATTAGTGCTGTTAGTATCACAGAGTTGGAGAGGAGGAGATTAAGATATAATACTAAAAATAGTTTCTATACCTTCAACTTCCTTCTTTTTATCAACACTACCAGAAGACCTTAAAGATCGTTTCCTGCGCTTTCCTCGATCAGATTTATCTGCAACTTTATTTTGATCATCATTGGGAGACTTTCCTCTCTCTGAAATTAAATTAAGAACATATGTATGACTTAAATAAGACAATAGATTTTCATTAAACAGAAATTTAAAATAATAAGCCCATATATATGTATATGTATATGTATATGTATATATATATATATATATATATATATATATATACATACATATACATATACATATATAAGTATAAATAATAGCTTAAGATATTATATAAATCACCTTTTCTTTTGGCCAACGCTCTTTCTTTTTCCCTTGCTTTAAAGATTTTACTTCGGTTTTGAGGTTCTTGTTTTTCATTTTCAGATTCAGATGAGTGAACTTGAGTGTTATGAAAATTGTACTTTTCAGAATTACAGGAAGGTGAAAACTTTTCATGATATTCTTTCAAACTACGTTTAATTTGGTCTTTGTCCTGTAAATAAAAAAAACATTAAACATGCTTTAAATGTTTCACTAAACCTTTTTAGGATTAATTATATAAACCCTCTGAAATCATACTTCAAAGATTTTACTACACTTACGACAACTTTTAGGACATTTCAACAAATAGCAAAAATACATATATGATAATAATTATGGCTCATCCAATATTTTTAAAATTAACAAACAATGGACCTTAAAAGCAAGAGTCAATACATACTTGTTAGATATAGCCTATCGTTATCACTAACCTGGCAGAGGACTCAATCCTCCAGTTCGCATTAAATTAAGTTTGTCATATCCAGTTGAATAAAAGTTTCTCTATACATTTTTGGAGAGTAACAAAACAGAAAGGCATATAACAAAGAAATTATGGTTTATCGTCAAGGAAAAGGGATTCTAAATAAATTTTTTTTTGTATATTGTGCTAGATTTAAAAAACAATCGGTAAATTCAAAAATCTCTTTGTATTAACTTACCATGGGATAAAAGAACTATAGCTTACAAACCCTTTTTACTAAAAACATAAATTTCTCTGTTTTAATACTTTCATCTTTCAGCTTTAGGAAGGTGCTTTAACAATCCAGCAGATTTAGATTTTCTGATTTTTTTTTATTATGGTTAAAAAGTTGATTTTAAAAAATTAAATATTTAAAAAATTATTATATTTAAACTATTTTTGTTTTCAATATTGCCATGCAACTAACCACTTCTATCATCCAATTTTTTATTAGGGTCTTAGGTTAATAGTAACTTAAAAAATATATATAATTACTTAAAGAGAAAACTCTTAATAATACCATATCTAAACTTAAGCTTACACTTATTATTACAAATTACTTTTAAAAAAATAATAAAGCTTTTTAATTTTTTAAAAAAATGGATGTTCATGTAAACAGTGTAAAACTGAATGGAGAAAAAAAGCCATCAACGGAATAGTTACCAAGAATTATAAATAGTGTTGTCTTCCTCAGGGCTGTAAAATAAAAAAATTGATCTGCCAATTATTATTTATGCAAAAATTTAATTACAATTGAAATAATTGATGGGTTTTCACTGGAGTAGTGCAAGATTATTGAATACAATATAAATATAAAATATTACTATAACTTATAAAATACATTAACAAAACCAAAAAAATACTAATTTAAAATGTTTAAGTAATTAAAGTTAAGAATACATATAAATATTCATAAGTGCCAGAATATGTTCTTTGTTCATACACTGAGAAATAATTACTGTTTTAGATTGATGCTATCTTCGGAAGTAGTACCGTGCCAAACACATTACAATCCACAACTATCTTCACAAGTCTGATAATAAAATATTTAATTGTTGAATTCAGTCATGATCAACTTTTCACATCATTTAATATACTGTAATTATTACTCCACTCTTAATAAAAAAACTTCTGCAGAAGCAGATACATTCAGAAGGGATGTGTTCTTTTCCAAGATGCTTGGCTAGAGATGTGAAGAAATGTTCCCGTTCCACCCATCTAGCAAAAATCTAACGGTTTTTTGAAATTAATTTTACTACATATTTTGTCATTAAGCTAACATTATATGGCCCAAAAAATTCAACAAATATTAATATCTAATTTAGAAAATCTAACTATTGAAAAGTGTTCATAATAGCGATTTTTGATAACTACAAATTTATAATAACGTAATACTTACATAAATTTGGAAGATTGATAGTGAGGATATTGAGAAATAATTGGTGTTTAAATAAAATTAAAAATAAGATTTTGAGTATTGAGGTGAGTAAGGAATTCCAAAACAGGGTATCATGGATGATAAATGCTTTTTGAACAGTTCTATGTATGAATGGCAATAGACAGGTTTGTGATCTGGGGTTTAGTGTTTAAAGAATGGAAAGAGGAACAAGGAACAACTAGACCTGGGGTTATGTATGTGTAAGAAAAGATATGTACCTAAAAAATATTAGCATTGGAAAACTGGATAGAGCCACTTTAACTGAGCATGTCAGCTAGAAATGTGGGAGCACCTGGGGACTCAGAAGATGAAATCACAGCCACCAGACAGTCTACCATATACAAGGCAGACATAATCTAAGTAGGGAAAAATGATAAAGGAAACTATGAGCTAACAGGTTGTAAGAAGAGGCATATAATTACAGAATATCAGAAATGGTTTGAAGGTGGTAGCAATGAACACATAATATAATAGTAAAACATTAGTGGTTATATTTTTAAATAATACCCTTGTTATTCTATTATTATTCCTTTATTCACCTCGGGACAAAAAAAATTCAGGTCAAATATATTTTAGCACCTCTCCCCAACATCAAATACTAAAAATGAAAATAAGCAGGACATAAATATGGAGCTTTGACTGTACAAATAAAAATTGGAAATTATTTAACAAAGTTGAATCCTAATACAAGACATGAGGACGGGATGGCCGAACACGTTGGGGCTTGGGTCCCAGAGTGCCTGGTTCTGAACATTGTGGGTTTAATTCCCACCTGGGTCGGTTACTTTTCATGTCTCGGCGGCCCCGAGAAATGGATCGTGACATTCCTACTCGACAAGCAAGTGGCGGAAACCTTAAAGGTAGCCGTCAGGGGTTGGCAAAAAGGATCACTATAGGCCCACTTACCGGACTAGTTCTCCCCACCCAGTACCAGTATACAACACATTAGCATCAACATTAAAAATTAAAGATTAATTACCTTAAACATGCCTAATTTGTAAATAATTTAAAATTATGTATTTAACAAATTAATAATCAAACTTAAACATCATAGTATGCACAATAAAATAGTCAATGCCTTAATGGAGTCCGAAGAATGATGTAATCTTACCAAAATTACTCCCCCTTCCTCCACTCGACCTTCAATACTTTAACAAAGGTATTCTTATAACTAAGGATTACAAAGCACCATTCATGAATTAATCAATTTTTAGAAAGCTTGTTATTATTATTTTTAACGGCTTATTGTCATAAAAATATAAAATAATACAGGTTATAATAATATAGGTTAAACAACATTATTTTATAACTGTTGCTTTCCTTAATTTATATAAAGAAATTACCACAATTGCCTAGTTAAATTTCTAAAAAAAAAACTTACTTTAGCTAATTATACATAATTGCTATAATTAAGACATGTTCACATCCCTGTACCATATACCCTGCACACATGCTAGCTAATAAAATACATTGCACTTATTTAGATTTATAAATAAGACAATTGTTCCTTGTTTCCTGTTCAAACCCATTTAACAAATAATATTTTAATATAAATATGTTTATTTCAAACTAAATAAGAATACAATGTTAGCTGAAATTATACATTAACATCTATATTATTATTATTATAGGTGATAATGTATAGTAAGATACAACAGTTGTTTACATAGTATTATTTAAACTACTGCATATATTGTTGGAATCTTTTTTAAGTTAGTTTATGGCAATATATATATATATATATATATTATATATATATATATATATATATATATATATATATATTATTTGTTAATTTAAGGGTACTTTGTCTCAGAATATGGTTCATTTTGCTATTCTATTAGTAATTCTCATGTGATACCCAACATAAATACATATCTAATCCTTCTTTTATTTGTTCATAAATCTTTACTTCCACTTAAATATTAACAGTGGTGAAGAACAAACCAAATTTTAATAAAAATGATAAATGTTTCAATTTGAAAGTGTTTTCATCTTCTTATCTCCATTCCTTATCTCAAAATCCCTCACTGGAAGAAAAGTACCGGCTATAGTCATATTAATATTAATAACCAGATGTACCAAAGAGTACCCACTACAAACCCAATACTCTTTTTTTCAATCACTAGAAAGGTACAAAGACTTTTGAGTCATATACATAAATGCCTCCAAAATGGAAAACACTGTTAGCTACGCTACCTATGTTTAACTTACTAGGAGAGATCTCCATATCCACTGGAGAAGCATGAAGGCTCTCCATTAGATATAAAATTCTATATAGAATAACTGAGTGGTAGCCACAGACTTCAAAAACATCGTGACAGCAACTGGTAACCCAAGGCTAAGCTATTCCCTAATTAAAAATATATTAAACCTATGGTGGAAGTTTAAAAAAAGAACAGTCAGTGTAGTTTTTGCCTGGGTTCCATTCCATAGGAGATATACCATTTTGGCCAACAAAAGAACCGACCAAGCTGCTAATTTAGCGAGGAAGAGAGGGAAATCAATCATAACTGCAATAAATTATATCACAGTAGAAGATTGGGTACACAAGTTAAAAACAAAGTTACTAGAAAATTGGGGAAAAAAATGGATTTGCCACAGGAAGGTCTCCTGACCCCAGAGTTGATTCACAGCTGATGAAAAATTACTTGTCATCAGCAGGATTCAAACCCCGGACCTTGAGCTTATGAAGTCTGTGCTTACCCACTGAGCTACCCTGCTCCTAGAAAATGGAGAAAATAGTCTGAATTATTAGAAATAAAAATGGAGTGCAACAAATGGGCTGCAAGCATGAGAAAACAGAGAGGAATTCATATTGTGCCGAATACAGATTGGTCACTGCCTGTTTACACATAGGTACTTTCTTAGAGGTATAGAAGCACTCACATGCCGAAAATGTGACAAAAGCTCACAGTCAGTGATATACTTATTACTAGAGTACCATCAGTTTGTGAAAAATCATAAAAACAATTATTACTAACAGTAATGAAAAAAATACTGTGAGACAATGAAGGTAGTCTCTGTTCAAATACTTAATTGAAACTAAGTATAACAGAATAAAACCTAAGCACTCTTTTAGATGAGAGTTAAATTTATCTGTTTCTTAAATGTGACTTCATGTAACATAAACTTTATTTGATATACAAAATATTTTTTTCTAATAAAATATAAAGTTTAAAAAATGTTTAACATGGATGTTGGATATATTAAAGAGGTTCGACTATATATTGCACAGTTCCAAATTTTATATCCAACATTATTTTGTCTTTTAAGGAAACAGTTTTTAAGAAACTGTAACAAGTAATTTCCTCTTCTAAGTAACATCTTATGTAGCAAACAGACTATTTCAAAATTATTTTTAAAAAATAATAAAAGAAAGAATGATCCCAATGCTAAAAAAAAATACTGATAAGGCAGAAAAAAGGAAATTGAAATAATTATTCATATAATTGTTTGTCATTGCAAACACACAAACATAAAAAAAAAAAAAAAAAAAAAAAAAAATTCAACATCTTGAATTATGCTAACAGTTACTCCACCAACAATAATCAATATACGCATACATTTATATATAAATGAAATAATTAATCGAAGAAAACAAGATCAGTAAAGTTTATCAAGGTTAAATAAAAATATTAAAATAAATATTATGTTACCTCTAAACTACAAATAACAGTTTGTGAATCCTGTGAAGGAATTGAAGGCACTAACGACGGTTCACAAACTTGGGCTAATGGAGCAGAAACAGAAGTCTGTTCAGGAGAGGACCCTATAAAATACAAAAAAAAAACTGATCCAGGTAATAATATAACACTATTATCGAAAGACTTTTGTTTACAGTCAACTCAGTAAAGAGGGGATTATTAAAAGCTAAAATAAGGATTTAGATTCAAGAACAATGAACAAATAAATTATGTAAAAAAGAAGAAAAAGAAGGGAAAAATAAAAATAATAAAAAAAAAAATAATGACTGTTTTTGTTCATTTCAACTTTTAGTTTTGCATAAAGAAGAACACAATGATTTTAATTTATTTTTCATTCTAAGTAACTTTACAAAATGCCAAAAGCATATTAACCATAACCATATTATTCTGTGCCATTGACACAACAGTTGCATTGGACTTGTATTCCCTACATGATCATTGCCGCAAGTTTTGCATCGCCTGCAGTTTTGCAAACCTGTGCAACTTTGAATTACCCACACCAGCATAATTCTTTTATTTTTATTCCATCAATTCTTTAGTTCAATTGAACAATCATGAGTTGACTCTATATATATATATAGAGTGTTGTTAAACACATTCCAACTTAAACACATACATATATAAACACACACATATATATATATATAGCATTTCCAAGTCATATTCAACCTTTTGCATTTCAAATTCAACTTTTGAATTTTTTATTTTTTTTTAAATAAAGGCCACTTAGTATATTATCGAAGGCATAGCTTTTGAAAAAAAAATAAAATTTTATAATGCGGTTGCATAACCATTTATTTTTACTTTTCAGATTTTTTCATTAATTTCAGATTCCAAATTAAACTTTTTCCAAGTCAAATTAACCTTTGCCATTTCAAAGTAAACCTTTTCCATTTCGAATTCTACCTACTCAATTTCAAAGTTTCAAATTTTTGATATTTTCGAAATAAGGGACTATTTTTTTTTTATTTTCTGATACGAGGGTCTATTATTATGCTCCCTTAAGTACAGTTTTTCAAAATACTATCGATTTTATGTTACGCTTATGGATATCGATTTATTGTACCTATTCGGATGTATTCGATATAAGGGTCTATTATTATGATAACAGAAACGTAATTTATTTACAATGACCTCCATTTTAAGATTATGCCGCTGTTTCGTTTTATTTAAGTTTTTCGGATTTATTTGATATTAAGGAAAATTATATGTTATCGGAGATGTAGTTTTTGAAAATTATCTCCACTTTAAGATTAAGTTTTCCAGTTAATTTAAGTTTTTTGGACTTATTCGATGTAAAGATCTACTTATATGTTATCGGAGATGTAGCTTTTGAAAACAATCTCCATTTTAATATTACAGCGCTACATCTCGATTAATTAAGTTTTTTTTTCAATACTAAGTTTTATCAGTATGTTTTTGAGTATGAATATTAACATACCAATTACAGATTTTTCAGCTAATAGTTCGAAATTTATATCTTACTTACCATTTTGTAAGAGGACACAGCAATATTAAAAAAGAAAATAAATTTATTTATTTCGGCTGAAAAATAAATTAATCCTTCTTATTTTTTTTAATTCAAATGAAAAACTCTGAAAACTTAAACAAACCAAAACACAATGGTGTAATCACAAAATGGAGATTATTTTCAAAAACTAGGTCTCTGATATCATGCAAGTACACCGTTATATCAAATAAATCTGAAAAACTTAAATAAATCGAAAAGCAGTGGCGTAACCTTAAAATGAAGGTCATTTTCAAAAAGTACGTAATATATGAGTAGACCCTAATACGCAATAAATCCTCACAACTTAAATAAACTGAAACACAGCGGCATAATCTTAAAATGGAGGTAATTTTCAAAAATTACGTCTCCGATAACATATAAGTAGACAGACCCTTGTATCGAATAAATCCAAAAAACTTAAATAAACTGAAATGCAGCAGAATAATATTAAAATTGAGATTATTTTCATAAACTGAGCATACGATAACTGACCCATATATGGAAAAATTAAAAATAAATAAAAAATATTGAATTTGACTAGCAAAAAGTTGAATTTTACTTGTGAAAGGTTGAAATTGGCTTGAAAATGCTATATATATGAATATGGGGGAAGGGGCTGGGGTAGCCATGAGGGCTAAGGCGCTTGCAATAGGTAACCAAGTTAAGCAACGCCGAGCGTGGTTAGCACTTGAATGGATGACCCCCCGATTTGGGTGACCGTCCACCAGGGAGTCATGCTGCCCGAGCGCCCCCAGGTATGTGAGGCCCGTCAGCCTACTAAGGCAACTCACACCGACCGTGTGTAGGACTGATGGCTCTACTCCATGTACTTAAATTGGAAATTGGCATGTGGTCTTAGGAGACAACATCTTGCAGTCAAAGATCTTCATGGTCTGTAGTGCGAACCGAAAAAAATAACAACAAAAAATGTAAATATAACTAAAGATATCAATTATAGTTAGTGATATAATATGAGGAGTTTGTCAAGGGGGTGCGGTCAAGTGAATACTAATTTTTTAAAAAATAGTATTTTTAATCGTTACGCTGACGTTTTGACTCACTTTGTAGGTCACCATCAGGGTAAAGAAGAGGAGTTTAAAACTGAAGAGGTCAATGTGTCATCATGTGAAGAATAGTTGAACGAAGATGAAGAGGAGTGTGAAGAGAAGTGATTAGATTTCGGTGCTGAATGATGAAAAGTTCCAGAAGGTTTTTGATATCTGGTACTGCGACGAGGGGGAAGAGCAGAGAGGTTCTGATGTGAGGAAGAGAGTTGTGGATTTTTTGATCTAACATTGAGTCTGGAACTGTGGCGTATGGATTGTGGGCTCATATCTTGTTGTTGACCCTGTGGTAATGAACTCATAATGATGTAGAGATGTATGTCCATGATATAAGGAGTTGGTCGTGGGAGGGGGAGTGCAATCAAATAAATACTAAATTTTTAAAAAATAGAATTTTTATTGAGTACTTAATAGTTGACCGTTGTATTATTAAGGAAGAAGATGGCCTGGGGTGGCGGTCATAATAGACTAAATATCGGCAAAACTATTTTGTTAAAAGCCAACGTTTCGACCCGACTTTGTAGGTCTTCTTCAGAGCTAGAACGGCCAACATATAAAAAGATATAAAGTATTGCGGAAGTGAGAGGGGGTAGTACCTGCAGTTCCATTGACCCCCATACTCGTGGGAACCAAAATGTCCAATCCAAAACAAACAAAAAAAAAATAAATCGTCGGTATCCGAGGAGGACTTGTCCTCCGAGGAGCTTTTAAACTTATCTGAGGTCACCTCAGATAAGATTGATGAAAATCTGGTAGGGGAATTACTAAAAACCCTAACAGAAGATGTCGGAACACTTCACGTCCAAACTGACCTTAAGGAGAAGGAACTGATGGAAGTGGCTTGTGCAATGGTGCAGGCCCAGGAAGAGTATATGGACGTCGAAGAAAGTAACAAACCAGAAATGGTTAGAAGCCGATCGCATTCTGGACTCGACCACACGGAGTGCGGGGACCACGAGTCGGAAGACTCGAGGCCTGCCACGTGGAGGAAGATAAGGAATGCGAAGAGGCGACTTAGGAGGAGGGCAAAGGCCCAACAACTATCAAGCCCAGAAGATGAGAGAAGGCCACCTTTAGAGAACTCTGCCGAGGAAGCAAGGGCCCCAAAAGGCCTGGCGGACAAGGCAGAGAGTCGTGAAAGGGAGGCCTCAGATCAAGGGCAAATATCTAGTGAACTGGAGCCTACTCAAAGGCAGGCAGTGGAGGATGCAAGGGCCCCAAAAGGCCTGGCAAACGAAGCTGCCGCGCCGGAGGGTAAAGCTCCAATAACACAGGCAGGGGATGAGAAGGGCGCATCCAAGAGGCCAGCATCTAAGTTTGCGAGGACACGTAGGCAAGCAGCTAAGAGTGCGAGGCCTCAAAGGTTGAGGTCTAGATCAAGACTGCCTGTGGAGAAAAGAGCTAGGAAATCCCTAGGAGCCTCAGCTGTGGAAGCTAAGAAACCAAGGGAGGCTGAAAGGCCCAAAAACTACGCAAAGGTTGCGCAAGGACAGTTGGTAGCGGTAGTTCCTGTCGACTACCCGCAGATCCAGCTAACTTATGACCAATGCGAAGATCTAAAAGAAGCAATCGCAAGTAAAATTGACGAGCTCACAATAGGCGGAGATATACATCCAAAGTTCGACGGGGCGCTTTTTAAGCTCGGAGGATATCTTGTATCCTGCCTAGACAACCATACGGTAGAATGGTTTAAAAGCATAACACCGAGCATCACAATTAAAGAAGGATTAACCCTATGAACTTGTGAAGCAGGTGATCTTACAAAAATCATCAGGATTGGAGCCTTCTTCCCAGGAAAGGCACTACCTGCTGATTATTATTTAACTCGGCTCCAGATTCAGAACCAATCTATTACTGGGATAAAAACCTGGACCGCGTTTAACTTCAAGGCTCTGGAAAGAGGATCCTTTGGAGTTTTCAACATACCGGAGACTAGCCTCCAGAGCCTCACTGAACATGGAATGCAGGCCTGCTGTGGGATATATGTTATCACCTTCAGGTTTCTAGCATCAGGAAGTAAACCTGCTCCGGAGGAAATTAAAGAGGAGGTGCCGAAAGCAGGTACATCAAAGGAGAGGGAGAACAAGGAATCTTCCTCTTCGGGAAGGAGTGCGTCGAGGACGGGGTCGAGGCCGTCGGCCGGGGCAGGAGGCGGGGCTAAGCCAAAGGAACCAGTGAAAACTGGTTGCAGAGGCGAACCCCAGCCACTGTCGCGGTCAGGTGGCCAGAACTCTGTCTCGCAGCACCCATCTAACACTGGTGGTGGTTCGAAAGCGAGGCCGAGAGGCGGGGAGAAACCTAAAGACAAAGTGAAAACTGAGTCGGAGGGAAGAACCCTACCATCGGCCCCGTCTGGAAAACCACCTTCCAGAACATAAAACAATCAAAACATATGAAACTGCTGCAGATCAACATCCACCACTGCATTGCGGCATGTGGAGTGTTGCAACAGTACATAAAAGGTAATGATATTGATATAATATTAATTCTT